GTGGGAATCAACTGACAGATCTTAACACACGTCATGCAACGTGATCCACTGCATAACATACAGGCGAAATCGATCTTGTTTTCCGTTCCCTTTGACTTTGAAACGAACCCCGTGAGCATCTTATCTTCACTTTGCACGATTGTGCGGTTTCATTAAACGTTCAGTTACAGATTCTCCATTTTCTGTTGAAGGTTAAACAATAAATTGGGCGATAGAATCTTAATCACTACAGCTACTGATGTCAAGCGAGGCGACATCGAGCTGGGGGCGGTTCATTTCTGTCTCTTTATGGTGGAAGACAGCCTCGTACTTAGATGGTTTACCTTCTTATGACATATTTAGTTTTCTCCGAATAGACTCCAAAAACTGTTCAAAGAGAATATATATTTCCTATTCCGCCACGTTTCAATAATAACAACATCTAGACAACTCAACATACACACAAACTGTGTTCATCATATCGCTAGGTTTTAAATAGGTTTTAAGCTAGACTTTAAGCTGGGTGGGCGGTTGTAGGTTTTTTTTTGCATGGTCTCCCCATGTGGACGCCTCCTCTCTCGGATGTGACTTTAATAGGCCCGTGCTGAAACCGAAGACGTGGTGAAATAATTCATCATCATATAAACATGATAACGGCAGCTGGGAGCGGATAGAGCGGGTTCGGGACGGGTCATTTCTCACCTGTAATAAGGACGATACCTGATCGCCGGGGACCGTTCGTTTCTCGGCCATGAGGAAGATGGCAGGTGGTCGCAGGGATGGGGCATTACTAAGCTGAAAACAGGGGTAATGCACTAGGATGAATCATTTCTCATCTTTGATGGCTGTAAAATTAGATACGCAGGGTTCCTCAGGAATTCAGCGTAAGGCATCGACGGGATCCCCCCATGCAGACCCCTCCCTTTTCTGTTAGTCAGTACCACCAAACAGCAACGTCATATCAGGGCCTATCCGTCATCCCGTACTTATACGCAAAATCTCCAGTTGCTCTCAGGAAATGTACACTTAGTCTCACTCCCCCCTCCGGCCTATGACTTACTAGCATACAAATCTGAGGCATCCCTCTGTGCCAAGATGCGGATGACCTCCGTGACCCTCGCGTCGACCTTTGACCCACTTGATCCTGATATACCCCGTCCATTAACCCGTCACATCACTTCCGCTGGTCGATGATTGGCAGCTGAGCCTCCCCGGGCGGCCGGCTGAGTGGAAGTTGGCGGGAACTGTGGGCAGATCAACCTGACATTTGATACCCCGCGGGAAGCTCATTTTGGCGGGAAATAAGAGAGATCTGTCAGTCATTAAAACCCTGCCGTGTTGCGGGAAATGTGTGATGCCCGATTTATACGAGGGCAAGCACCTGGCGGTACGAAAACTTCGTACGTTGAATTTCTTCTACCCGTAAATCAGCCTATTTTGACGTCAAGGACATACATGTAGATCATACGTTCCCTCGAGGGCTGGCATACGATCAGAACGTGCGCTCTTGATCGATGTACGCCAAAGAAGCCCATTCTAACACTCAATTGCAAGTTTATTTGACAAAATTTTACTATCTTTAAACCGGCGTTGTGAGTCAACGGCAGCAGAGGTGTTATCACCCAGCCTTACGATCCAGTGCGGTACTGCAGATACAAAGTCAAAGGCGATTGCTTCCACCCACGGCAACTGCGACTCATAATTCACACTGCAATAGAGGACAGTCTATACAACAGAAGCCTTCTTCAGGTTCGGATGACCCATTACGTGACCACACGTGACGTCAGCGATTCGGTCAAAGAACTTGAATTGAAAACCTTCCTTCATTTTATACCTCTTTAGCTGGTTACCAAAACTGATGACAATACTTCATACACGTCGTACGCAGAAGCATGCCGCAAACTTGACTTGCCCACACTTGAAGCCAGACGTCGTACTCTGTCTTACAACTTCGCCAAAAGGATGCTTGACTCTGAGACTTACAGAACTTGGCTCCCACCTTTGCGTGGCGACATAAGTACCAGAGACACTAGATCTAAGCACCTGCTGAACCCTATCAAAACTAGAACAAGTAGATATTACAACAGCCCCATCCCGTACATGACCAGACTCTTGAATGAACTCTAATACCTATACAAGAACTGTGAACTTGCGAAAATGATGAATCTTGCCAATGGATTAATGTAGTTAATGCTAGCCACGTATATTTGTGTAAATGTGTTAACGCAAACTATGACGAAATTAATAGTAAGCCTTCTATATTGTGTTAATGAGTTTCCATATTGTGTTAATGAGTTTCTATAGTGAGTTTCAATGAGTACTGTTAGTCTGTAATTTAAGATTTTTTAGCAATTGTACAAGGTATGCAATTCAGCCCGGTGGCTGCAAACTACTTTCAATAAACCATCTATTATTATTAATACTGGGGTTTAACACCACCTTTTTTCCCTCCTCTGCTGCTCACTTGGTTCCTATCTAATGTCTGTACTCATCCCTTCCTCTCTCCTTCTTCGATGACTTCTGGGCCCTCTCAAACTCTTACAGGTGTTCCCATCATTTGAAACTGACAGTTTTCTCTCCCCGTGTTTCTGCAGGGGACCTGTTCATCCTGGTGTACTCCGTGGATAACTACGAGTCGTACATGGAAGTGATGCGGCTGCGGGAACAGATCCTGGAGTCCAAGGCATCCTGCAAGACCCGCACCGCCGCGCCGCCCATGATCATCGCCGGCAACAAGGCGGACCGACCCGAGTCCGAGCGGGAGGTGCTTTACGACGAAGTCGCAAAATGGGTGTCCACCGTCAAGAAGTGTGCTTTCCTGGAGACGTCCGCTAAAAAGAACGGCAACATTAATGAGCTGTTCCAGACACTGTTTGAACTGGCCAAACTCCCCCCGGAGATGTCGCCGTCGCTGCACCGGCGTGTCTCCATTGGCGACCAAGCCTGGGAGGCCGCCAAGAAGGGGATCTCTTTCTACCCCCGGGGCAAGCAGGACGACAACCCCCTGGGGGTGGTGAGTCCCCACGCCAGACGACCGAGCTTACGCAGTGACTTGATAGAGGCTGAGGCGAAAGCGGAGCAGGAACAGCGTCGGGCCGAGAAGCCCAGCATCCCGAAAATCTCTTCCGCGCTCAGCCCCTACAGGTCACAGTACAGGTCGTGTACATGTCAGTGATGCCCCAACGCGCCTGCGGATAGACTACACTCTGGGACTAGCCAGGTTATTTTAAACCCCGACCGAGAGGCCTGCAGCTAGGTTATCGCGACGTCCTAAATGTCTGCGACCAGGTTATTGTTAATCGCCCAGAGGCCTGTAGCCAGGCTGGTGCGATGCTCAAGAAGACTGGAGCAAGGCTAGGATGCAGCATACCTCCGTCTGAAGGTGCAAGGTGCAGGGAACTGACGTCATCGAGGCAGTTACAAATCCATTCACGTGTTCACGTGCCGGAATGAACTGCTTTTTTTCACCACCTTGCTTTAATCTAAGGTTTACTCCAGGGGTTTATGATAATATACAATGTAAAGCTTTCTGTAGTTTCTTCAGGCTGTAACCATTCTACCAAAATATTCAGGTAAAAAGTGACTGTTTTGAAGGTGAACTAGGGACATGATAACCGTTAATAACACAGGGAGTGGGGTACATACCAATCCTTTTATTTGTTTGAATATGTTAATTTTAAAAAGAATGGAAAGTGGAATAAGCGTGATGAGTGGAACACGTTTGACCAAATGTTCATGAACTGAAAATTGTCAGAACATTTTATGTACCCCTGAAAACACTTTAAAATGGAAGTGGGGACCCTTCTTTCTTCCATTTTCCTTAAATAAGGAGGGAAAAAATCCACCAGAACTCCAAAATGCCGTGATGTGACGTGACGTGACGTGATGTAAGTAAAAAAAAAAACACCCGGAAACGATAACCAAACCGTTTGTGTACCCCCTCCCCCACACACCTGAATGGAATGTTCCAGAGACCCCCGATAACAGATCATAAAAGAACGAGGCAACCCAGTTGTTGAGAGTATCCGCTGCTATGCACACGTACCTGTCTATGAACGAAGCTACGCACACGAGGGGCAGCAGTAGTAACCTACGACACTACAGACCAACTTATGCAGGCGTTTTTCTAAAAGAAATTCTACACTATTCATGCAAGTTGTCTCTGCGTGTCAGTATTACACTGAACCAAGTCCGTGCGAATCGTAAGGGTCGAATGTGGGCTTAGGTTTATTCAGCGCGCGATGGTCACGCGACGAACCTGTGAAATAACGTAATGTTTAGGAACTAGACAACTGTTGCAACGAGAGTCGACCTCGGCTGGATCGGAAAGAGATATGAGTTGTCCCAAACTCACGTCTCTCCTGTTATTTTCACTAGTCTGCGAAGTTTTGTCCTTGTTGTAAGGGGGTTGTTGGCCGGATTGACGCGACATGGCCGATCATGAAAGAGGCCACCATTACAAATGAACAGTCCGGATTGAATATTCAAAAAAGTATAAATGCAGCTGTATCATGACCATTTCTCCACACTATTACGAATCATAACAGTAATTGAAACGAAAGAAAACCGGCGAATGCAATTCTAATGTTAACCAGAGTTTTGATCACGAGTACAATGGTCCTTCAAAAGAAATGATAGAACTAATGCAGACAGAATTTCATCCGTACTTGACTCAAAGTTACTGAGCAACAGATGTCTAATCTCCAAGGAAATCCTTGGGTGCCCTGAAGGCAGTATCCCATCGACCGGAGGAAAGTATGGCTATCAAATACTGCCATGCCAAACGGATACTGTCTTTAGGCCACGAAAAAATCTGCTTGAAGAATATAGATTACCAAAATGGCCAATGATGCCTGCCGCTTCTCATGTGATCAAAACAACCTCGCCACGATCGGTCTTGTCTTGCGAGTCCGCCCGGCAACCCCTGACACGTGTTTAAGGTGGAATCCATCTTAAACGTTTTGAATGTGACTAGTAAAGAGAAGAAAGTGTAAACCTCCTCGGTAAAGGTCACGTTTTGGTGACGTTGCACCTCAGCCTACAAGTGAGATTTTCGTTCTTCCACTTTAACATGGAGGATTAATCCGGTGCTTACATTACATTGTACTTTGTGTAGCGCATAACAGGAGTGTTAACCCTACATGTACGTGTGAGAGAATTGTACATACTGTAATGATATATAGACGAAACACATTAAGATACGTACTGACGCAGATGTCTCGGGTTTTGCCCAATACTTCAGGCTTTAGTCGGAGTTGTATGTTCTGATGACATGAAACGCCGCTTCATTTTTATATGTGGAAATGTGGTCTCGGTACGGAGGAAGAACTTACTGAGGTTGTGAGTGAGTGCAATGCTGTGCGCATCACATTTCACAGCGCTTAAATTGTAAACTGACCTCTGTTTTCTTCCCCTCTTTTCCCCAGTTTCTACTTCTTTCTCTCTTCCACTTTTTCCCTCCCTCCCTACATTTTACCCCTCCCTTTTTTCCTTCCTTATTCGCTACTTTCCCATCACATCCCTGCCTTCCTCCCTTCCTCTCTCCCCGGCCTCCGTGAGTTTTTCCTAGCCCCCACCAGGCCTTCCTGCGGGGGTACAGGTCGTAGAATTCGGCAAAAAAGGGAGAGTCAGTCCGCAGGAGGGTTAAATTACCCCTCAGTTGGCAAATAAACTGTTCGGTGGCTTAACTCCCCTGGCTAGTCATTCTCCCTATTTGGCTGAATTTTACTTTTGGAGACTAACATTTTGCCGACCCGAGTACAAGAAGCGATTTGACAGGCTCTGCTATGCACAACAATGAACACCTTGTAGTCCCGAGACTAATGAAGAAAGATTGGAACGTTTCCATGGTGATTAAAAAACCCGTTTTGAACTCCGAATGACTTGTCATTTTTGGTGACGCCTCAGGGCCGGAGCCGTTGGTATAGTACTGCGATTGAGTTGAAAGTATTCTAAAAGTTCACACACGAATGCATTCCCTATGGAATTGGTTGTTGGTAACTTTTTAGTACATTTAACCACGTGTGTGACACCATGAGGCGATTTGTTATACAAACAAAACAAACAAGTATCCAATACTTTCTGAATCATTTAGCCGTGATTATTGAACAATTGGTGGTATTTAAGGCTAGTACAATATATTCGCAGATAGCGGCTCAGTTTTTTTTTATCATTTGCATCTATTTTCAATATGACCGATAGACCAAAAATGACGTCCATGGCACTTCCAAAAGGGTATTGTACGGAGCTCCTTCTAAGCCAACATATTAGCTTGAAATCTAGCCTGGGTGTCAGAATGTTTCCATGGCCAATTTCTCGGCTCCAGCAAGTCAGTATGCTCCCAATGCACCGTGCCCAATGACAGCAGGTCGGGGCCTAGCGTCGTTATGTGCCTGTGATGGGTCTGGCATCCGGACATCCAGACTGCCTGGGTGCACGAGGAGGGATGTGATTACCAGCGCCATCTCGGTCCAAATCCCGCCAACCTCCATCGAACTTCGCTGGGAGAATACGGTGCGCCTTCATCGCCGGGTAATCAGCGACGATATCTCAACCGTATTGGCGACTCAGCCCGCCCAGCTATTCTTATATCAGTCCGCAGACGGCCAATGGGCACATCGTGACTCTCTCAGGGTACATAATCACCATCAACCATTCTTTCTGCGTTCTACCCCAATCGCGTTACACCCCAAACAAAGTACTAGCTATAAAGCTTGCAAACCTGTAACATAACCAGCCATCAGATATCGGTGCTTCCCCCATGGACACAATGGACGACCCCAACAACTCTCTCCCAGGGTGCACCACGGTCGGTGGAAAATGGCGGCGCCCATGAAAGGTGAGCGGGGTTTAGGTCAGGGTGAATTTTCTGGAGACATGAAGAAAATAAAGCAATAACTGAAGCGAACTCAGACATTTGTTGATCCCGAGCGCCGAAGGGCAGTTGACTAATGTCACAAAACTTCATGACATCGTATTTTTATTGTGAAAACGTCAGGGGGGGGGCGATGTGTGTTGTTGTCGTCAGCAAGGTGTTCTATTTTACTTGGAGGGTACATGATGCATATAGGGCTTTGTCCAGTATACAATAGGATAGGCTAGGATAGGGACTAAACATCAAGAAGTCATGAGAAGTGGTTTACTAGGAATGTGCAGTCACTAAACTCCATTGTCCCCCAGGGATGTCTTTGCTGAGGCAGGCCTTTCAGGGGCTGGTGAGACCTGCAGGTGGCCAGGTGTGCCGCTTACAGGTGCAGCACAGGTGCTACAACGCACCTGCTGCTGGCCATGTACAGGTGGACATGAACAGTGACACAGGTGGGTTTCTTGGAGACTGCACTTTCCAAGCACGTGGCAGGTGTAATAGTATTATGTCCACTGAATGGTCTACATGAGTGTGACCTTATGTAGTTTGAAGATTTGTGTAACTGACTGACAAGTTGACAACTTTTGCAAATTGCAGTCATTCCTCTGTAAGACATCTGGAGCTGCATAGATTTTGGGATAATCAGGCATTCAGCTATGCGATACATGTACATGCAAGGCATTTTTCAATAACGCTTAACAAAGAAACGTTGAAATAAACTTAGTTATATAGAGATGGTGACCACCTGTATGAAATGCAAGGAGGTGAAAGGGACCTTCTTCTTAATGATGAAATAGATGTTCAAGTAAAGTGGCTGACTGCAATACATGGTGAATTAAAACGGCTCAGTAGGCTTAAGGAAAAGGCCTGCAGACCCTCTCTCTTGTATGTCCAGGTGTAGCGACTGTGCGTCTGAACCGGCCACCAGTGAACAGTCTGAACCTGGATGTTCTAACAGAACTCAGCATCGCACTGGAGAAACTGGAGACTGACAGGAGCTGTCGGGCCATGGTGCTGGCTTCGGTGGGTATAACTCTGGGGGGTAGGGGATCTGTACAGGGTCTGTAGGGCACCTGGGGAGCTCAGCATTGCACTGGAGGAAAAGGGAGCCGACAGAAACTGTAGGACCATGGTGGTGGCCGTGGGTAAGTTTGGGGAGAAGACAGAGAGTGGGTGGGAGGATGTTAGGTCTGTACATAAGCTAATTTACTCAAAACCCTATCCCTGTCCAAATGGTGCTAGGTATAACAGTACAGTTTTGTGATACTTCTAGCCTGATTTTCTCCAGTTTGTCCTGTTTTCTAACATGTATTTTTCCCCTTCAGGCTGTTCCAGGTATTTTCTCTGCCGGCCTGGACATTATGGAGATGTATAAGTCTACCCCGGAGCGGTGTGTGGCCTTCTGGCGCGCCCTGCAGGACGCCTGGCTCAACCTGTATGGGTCACGCCTCATTACCATGGCAGCCATCGAAGTAGGTATCTGGTCCTAAGTTTAAGTGTGACAGAGGTCATCCATTTCTGTAATACATCCAGCCAACAGACGCTTGTGTATTACGTCAAAGGGTAGTTATACCGGGTGCCATCTATACAGATACAGAAGCTTGTGTATTATGCCGAAGTGTGGTTATACCAGCTATACAGATACAGATACAGAAGCTGGTGTTTTATGCCGTGGGGTGGTTATACCAGCTAATATACAGATGTGTTACTTTTGAAGACAGTACAGACACAGAATATGCTACATGTGAGTTTTTGTTGTGTTTCCCAGGGCCACAGCCCAGCGGGTGGCTGTCTGCTGGCGATGTCATGCGACTACCGTGTCATGGCGGACGGGAAGTTCCAGATCGGACTGAACGAGACACGACTCGGCATCGTGGCTCCTTTCTGGTAAGGGCACCGCTAGGTCAGGCTTTTCTATTCAATCGTAATTAACTAGAAAGCAATTGATTTATGTGTGTTTCTGCCAGGTTTACAGATGTGATGCTGAGCACCATCAGCCATCGTGAGACAGGGATAGAAGGCCCTGCAGCTGGGCACAATGTGTGTGTTTAAGTGTGTTTATCTGTGATGTGTGTTTATGTGTGATCTGTGTTGTGTCTATGACAGGTTTACAGATGTGATGCTGTGCACCATCGGCCACCGTGAGACAGAGAAGGCCCTGCAGCTGGGTGCCATGTACTCGGCTCAGCAGGCGCTGTCTATCGGACTGGTGGACAAGGTTGTCCCTGCTGACCAGGTCATGTCAACCGTGCAAACTGAGCTGAAGAGCTGGTTACAGATCCCAGGTACCACTGGTTTATTTTATGTTCATGTTCATATAGTAGTTGTGCTTTTTGCCTGATAATTTCAATTCTCCACAAGTATACAAGTGGAAGGAAGGGCAAAACAGGTGTATTAACACTTGAAAATACAAATTGTCTTCCCGGGCACAAAATTATATACAAAAATATGTTTCTGTCACTAGGGGAAAACACCAAAAACATACTAAAGATGTCTTAGTGCTGTACACACAATGAACAAAGAGGACTCAGAGCTTTACAAACTTATAGTAGGTGGGCCATGCACAAGGAAAGTCAGGACTGTAGTTTACATTGAGTCTGTAACAGTGTCTTTTGCAAGTGATTGTGAGGACTGGACCAACTGTGAAGGGGGCAACATTGATAGGATCTTTGAGCATCAGAAAATCTGGTTGTTTTTGACAGAATGATGTTTTTAATGGAGAAGCTGAGGTTAGCATAGGAGTCTGGGATTTAAGTTAAACGATTCTCCCCAGATGCAGCCCGTGTGATCACCAAGACCTCCATGCGGAAGCAGGTTCTGGACCGGCTGAGCTCACAGAAAGAGAAGGACGCCCAGTTCTTCGCAGACTTCATCTTGCGCGAGTCCGTGCAGAAGTCCCTGGGAGCCTACATCGCCTCCCTGCAGAAGAGGAAAAGCTGAGGACTTTGAAACTTCTGGTCGATCAGACCAGTTTAGGTTCACATCTTACTAAGGGTCCAGGTTATGGTTTAAGTGCCAGGACATGGTGAAGTTGTTGGCATGGAATGTCCCAGGGATAAAGTCCACACAGGTGGTTGCATTTTTGTAGGTCTCTGTTTCTGTCACACTGTGTCATTTAGTTTTACATCTTACAATTGCTGCTATATTTTAAAAGCTCTACATAAAATACCCCAATTATGGTTTCTCACAAAATCTTAATAAACACCTAATCAGCAAATAATCTCAAAGATGTTCTTTCCCTTTCATTAGTTTATTTTATAAAAGCATTTAAGTTGGTTTTATAATAGAAACAGTTCATGTTTATAGTAAAATATTTTCTTGACCTGCGAAAATCTCATGATTACAATATACATCAGAAAGCTATATATATATATATATATATATATATATATATATATTCTGCAGTGTTCTATAAAACATAATGGTAGCCTGCCATTACTTAGAAACATTTCCAATTACTGATTAACTTGTTCAATAGCTTAGTAACATTTAAGGATTTGAGGACTCTAAATCATCTTGAAATGTTAGGGGGGATGTCACAGTACAGTAATTAACTTCTAGGAGAATCAGGTTATACAAACTCACACAATCACAGTTCAAAAAGGGTAAACTACAATAAAACTGCAATGTCGTCACAAAAATATTTGTCAGTGCATCATACAAGACCATCGCGCTATTTTACACTAATAACTCTACTAACCTATTATCATTCCAACTAGGACTTTGCTTGCTAATTGTCACAATACCTTTTTGGCATTTCAGTCGAAGCAATCTGCCCGATCTATCTGGTAAAGGGTACGGTCAGGAAATTAGTGTATACATATGAAATCACAACGCACATAAAAAACATGGCGCTAACTTGGTAGTCTGTATCAAGAAGACCGCTTGAAAACTAAAATGAGTACTGCTGAGCTCTCCCTGTCCACGCGTTCTGTTGGGACGGGGGACGGGCTATGAAGTTTGAGTTGTTCACAAGGCACTTCTGATTTTCATAGTCGGTGATCAGTTTGCCCCAAAGAGGATGGACCCTCAGCAGGTTCTTGTTACCTGCACAGTGTGAGAGACAAGGCAGAATTTTGATAAGCACATTTACAATAGGAATTCAAGTACATGTACTTAAGAATTACATTGTACTTGCAACTTTTTAACACTCTAAATGTTTTTATCTGAATGAATTTTTGGATGCTTGAGCTCCCAAAAACAATAAGTAGCCAACAACCTAAATAAGCCATGCACCTTTCTAACCATTTGTATGATGGTAAAACTACAAGTAGTCATCAAGGCAAACCATCATCCTTTTTCCAAGATGTTTATTCCGATAGACTTGAATTGAAATGTAAGTACGTGTTGTTGTTTTACCCACCAATAATACAAAGTCCTCTCTTGGCTCTGGTGATGGCGACGTTGACCTGGTTCTGGTCCGTGATGAAACCCAGGTACTTCCGGAGCCAGCTGGGGGAAGGGTTGTGTTCAATCTCGTACGACGGCAGAGACCTTACCGTGGAAAATATGACGTAATCCCACTCGCTTCCTATGAAAATGCAATGTAACATTCCAATATCAAATCTCCCTGAAATATTCACAGTTGTTGCTAATTTGTTCTTTTTTAATTATTATTGAGGATTTGTTGCTAATTCTGTCATTGGGGGGTCTTCAGAGGATGTCATTCATAGAATTACGTCAGTGCGGCAGGAACTTCTCCATTGCAAAAAGGAGGGGGGGGGACAAAATGGGTGATTGTTCACTCCTGCTACTTGTACATATATCTCCCCATTTCCTTTCGGAGTATTTCTGGAACTATGCTCAATACCTTACCTTGACTAGCGACCACTGAGTTGACTCCAACCCTCTCCAGTCGCTCGTCGTTCCGTTTGGTCCTTTCTGCTGACAGCTTCTTGTTGAGAAGTGCACACTGTGCGCGGTACTGGGACAACAGGATGACGTTTTCAGGCTGGATTTTGTGTTCTCTCACCAGAGAGATCGCCATCTTCACCTGTTAGAAAAGACACACAAATGGAGCCTTATGATAAAGGAGAGATTAAATATAGCTACTCCTATATGGGTTTGGCATCCGCGACGATCTACTGTCATATCAAAATAGCATTACGTTCAAATTCTCAAACTTTATTGCACAATCAACCTTGCAGTCCTTCAGGACTGATCTGCATTGATTTCACAGCAATACAATTATAAACAATGTGATTAATTAAATCATAAATAGCACTAAAACGAAATACTATCACTATTATTCAAGATTTGTCAAACATGTCGAAAATGTTGTTTACAAGACACAAGTGTAAAGAAACGTCAATTTTCACATTGTACTTGAAAGCACCTAACCAGCACTTGTACAGAGCACGAAAGTGATAAGATATAATGTAACATTGCGTTAGGATTTCCTTACCGCTATGTCAGCTTCCATCTCGTTGCTCCGTGACATCTGGTTGCCCTCCGCCGTTGCCACCGTCTGGACCTCTTCCCTCCCGACCACGTGGCAGAAGGCCGTAGGTCTGCCCGCTCCTCCCGGCCACAGCCCGTCCAGGGTAGGGTGCCGGGGCCTCGCCGTGACGGACTGGTGAGTACGGAGTTTGTTCTCGTAGAACTCTCGGGACGGAAAACTGCAAATGGCTTCGTGCTGTTAAAACAAAGTACATAATGTTTATCACTCAGTTTACCAGTAATTGTATACATTTGATTTGATTTGTATACAGTTATCTCTATCAGTGTACGTACAGTATACAGGTTTTACCAGTGGTCAAACTCTAGGTATATTGTAAGAGGTAAACATATTAAGATACAAACGCTATGTCAAGAATAAATCGTTATCGCAGATATTAGAAATGAAATTGATGCCGCATCAGGTCGTTGCGTTCAAAAGGCTCCAATAACTGTAGCAGTACTAAAAAGCATGCCTTTACCATGCGGTACTGTGTCGTCAGCATGGTCGCCATCCATGAATACCGCTGGAACAGTGACGTGTCCAACCCGAGCTGTTGTGACGACTTCTCCAGAACGATGGGTCTCAGCTGCTGGTGGTCACCGATCAGAATCACCTGCTTCGGGTTGTGGAATGTCGCGGACCTGCACCGAACGGCAAAGAAGTAAGTTACCCTAACCCTAACCATAGGTAACAACATTTCGTCAAAACAGGGCAAACTTAGGCTTATTCAAAAGGTCTATCGGCTAGAATTTGACAGCTGCAAACCGTTTTAAGGTCACTATCTTGTGTCGTTGGAGAGTTATCACCGTTTAAATTCATCATAAGACAATTACAATTGTCAGAAAGTAGAAATGTTTTGCAAAGGAAGGACCACTAACTCATTTCGTTCCACTGGAGCCCCGACGATGGGGACGAAGCTCTCCGGTTCTGTGCACATGCCGCACTCGTCCACGATGCACTGCTCGATGTTGGTCGCCATGCCCATCTTGGGGCTGGCCGCAGCAGTGCAGGTGCACAGGATCACGTGCTTCTGTCTCAGCTCATGAACCTGCAGGATCAACATCACCAGAATGAAAACAAGGCCGGGAATAATAAAAGAACATCATTCCGGAGGAGGAGATTCAGAAAACATGACATGACACCGACCTTGGCATGCATAATTCGGACTTTGTAGTCAGTGATGTCTTTTTCTGTCACGGTGTAGTTTGGATCTCTGAAGCGAGTCTCAAATTCCCTGATGGCCTCGGCGTGAGGATTGCCGGGTTTGCGGATGAGGTGATGCAACGACACGTCGTCGTGTTCGTTCGTGATCTTCGACTCTTTCTCGCTGAAACACAATCAAGAGTAACGTTCGTTCAGCAAAACAACAATAAACATCAACAAAGATGGTACACAGATAAATTCAGCAACATCCATCTTGCTGACATTTTGATGTTCATTTTAATTCATGACGAGTTCAAACCACTTCTACTATATATTTTATTGCATCCTCATGTATGAGTTCTTAATCGCTGGATATCTAGTATACATGTATATAGCACACATGTGGACCAAACTATCAACGATGATTACCTACCTTCTGCACTTATTCGGGTGTACCGGCTCATTCGGGATGGGGAACTCTTCTCTCTCTATCATCTCGCTGTACATGCGAACGATCTTCAGATCTCCGCTTATCCTTTTCATGTATCCTGGATAAAAAGGAGATCATGTTTATCAGTCAATGCATTGCTCTATCATCATCATCATGCCTCCGGATTAATCCGATGAGTTACGAGGGTGGATCAAAAAGTTCTCGGCCTCACCTAGAAAACGTCGTGGCAGAAAACATTTTCTTACACTATGTTTCAACATATTCCCCTCTAACTGCAATGCACTTGGTCCAGTGATGTTCCAGGTTTGTCTTCCCCTTGTGGAAGAAGGTTGAATCTGGAGCCCCCAGATAGGGCTCACCCGCACTGATGACGTCATCATTACCATAAAAACGTTGACCACGTACGTGGAACTTCAGTTTAGGAAATAGGTAGAAGTCCGAGGGTGGTAGGTCAGGTGAATTGGAAGGGTGGGGTTAGACTTCAAAGCCAAATTCGTTTGCTGCTGCCACTGGCCCCTGTGCTGTGGGGACAGGTGCATTGTCAGCACGCCAGCTCGGTGCTTTCCTCTCCTTTTCTCTTTGATCATTGTCCTCAACTGTTGCTATTCTGTTAAATAGTACTCCCCATTGATGCTTTAACCCCTTCGCAGGTAGTCAATCATGATTACTCCCTTGCTGTCCCAGAAAACAGAGACAAAACCCCTGTCAACGGATGAAACTTGATAAAACTTCTTGGGGGGCCGGGAAACATTCTTCATTCATTGTTTGTTCTGTTGTTTTGATTTGGGGTGAAAGTGGTGAATCCATGCCTCATCTTGGGTGAAAAATGTTTTGAGGTAATTGCTTGGATTGGACTGAATTCGTTCCTTGAAATGTCCAGCTTGTTTAACTTCTGATGTTCAGAAAACATTCTAGGCACCCACCTTACAGACAGGTTGCTCATCCCCAGGATGTCTAACAAAACATTGTGAACAGAGTCACAACACAGGCTAAAGACTCTGCTACATGTTGGACAGTCTCACATCTGTCATTTACTATCATGTGATGGATGGCCTCAACTGGATTGTCCGTGGTGCTGATTTGTGGCACCCTGACATATGTTCATCTTTGGTGCTCACCTTGCAGCGCTTGTAGCTAGCAACCCACTTCTTTATAGTTGAATAAGAAGGAGAGTCATCACCAAGTGTCCTGACCATGTGTTCATAGATTTACTTACGAGACATCCCTTTTTATCGATATACATGATCACAGCACACGCTTCTGTTGCGGCCATTTTGTGATTTTACCCTCACCCGCCCCATTTTTACGGGGCGTCACGTGCTAATTAATGAATATAAAAATTTGAATTTTTGTGTGCAGTGATGTAAGACATCATAGTTTACAGTTATACTAAAGAATAGGAGTTTGACTTTTATTTTCTAGGTGAGGCCGAGAACTTTTTGATCCACCCTCGTACGTTTGATAAAGTCACTCCAATGCTCACCAGTCACCACGTCCACTGCCTTGTTGGAAGGTCCACAGTACAGGACCTGGGGAGGGTACATCCCTTCTGCCGACACTGACTGGATCAGTTTGTTCATCTGGGCCAGGTAGTACGCGATATGGACTCCTGTTACGGTCTTCCCAGTGCCTAACGATGGATGAAATAAACATAAACGTACGGCATCGGTAAACATTAATCAGAAAGCAATTCATTGTATCATTGTGATGTGTGTACTGTGTGCATCATAACAAAATGGTGGGTTTGTTACATAGTAAATATGCGAATTCTTTGCAGCATTATTTGCGTATCACAATTGCTCCTGTAAAATCACAACTGATGTCCACACAGTACAAGTACTACCTACCTGATTAGTATACTAGACCTACCTGGTGGTCCCTGGATGAGAGTGAACGGTTTTCTGATAGCCCGTTTCACGGCTTCCCCCTGGCCTTGGTTCAGCGGAAAGAAGGCTGGCAGCGTCTCGATGGTAACTTCACTCGCCAAAGGATTGTCTGTGCCATAAAACAATCAAGTAGTACACCACCTATCCTTTAGATGCAGATGTTTTGAATTGTCCGACAATATCAGCAGATAGGTTTAAGGACATACATCCATGTATAAGGCATACGAGATCTAGTGAAAAACACCCATTTTAATACAGAGAGCAACATTCAACTGACCTTTAGCAGTAATAGGTTTCCCCGTGGCGATTTGCTGGACTAGATCTGAAGAGCCGCTCAGCCATCTTACTGCGTTCTCCATACGCCTGGGAAGGACATCAAGTTGGTTAGTAACGTTAGGTATAATATGTTACAATCAAACATTTACAAAAAAACGAATCTACACATTCTCAGGTTCACATGCTGGTCAAGTCGAAACCTACTATTGTATAGTGTAGTGTTTCTCACCTGTCAGGTAGAGTCTTGGTGATGATCTCTATGGTTGCTGGAATAGTCGAGCCGTGGTGCAGGAGAGCGTCAGGGAACGCCATGAGGTGCTGGTGAAGTCTGATAGGGACTGTGACGTCGTCACGTTTGCTGGCCTTCACCCCGGGCATCACCAGGCAGTGGCCCACCCAACAGACGAGCGGCGGGGATTTCTCTTCAGTCTTGTCCGTCGCGATGTCGAAGCGACCGTCACGAGTCATGGCAGCCCTCACACCGGTATAACGCACACAGATGTAGTCCAGGTACTTCCCGGTCTCATTAACTGCCTTGAGATTGCTCTGGTTCTCCTGGTTGAAATAGATACAGCGGTCCTTGCAGAACTTCTGTGAGAGAGTGATTTGACCAAAGTACTCCACACTCCCTGTTGTTTGTTGTTGTTTTTCCCAGCTGATGTAAACACCATGGACGACGACTGACTCGTTGTTTTCCACGGCACAGTGAGCGGCTTCCACCGCCATGATGGGTAACCAGCGTTCCTGGTACGCTCGGACTGAGCCGTATCTCGGTATGTTGGCCACAGACCGCGTGGCGGGCACGGCGAACCGTGTCACTGCGTCCCGCCTGTGGTCCAGACACACGTCCATCTTCGGCGTCAGGTTGAAGAGCTGGATGGACGGTGATAGAAGACCCTTCCGTATGTCTCCCGTCAGCTGCACCTTGACCACCTGTCCTGGCTTGTACGTCATCTGGAAGGTACAGAAGTGATCGGCGAACAGGCCTTCCCTCGCTTCCGATGACACTTCTTCAAACACCCGTACGCTTGGTCCAAACGTCAGCTGCATGCCAACTACCTCCTCTATGTAGGTTACGACATCACTTATGGAGCTCATATTTCCCGCCTGTACATGTTGGACAAGCCTTTGCCAATACTGACCAGGTATCCTTATCACATACTTCTCACTGTCGAGCTGCAGGGGCCTTTTACGGTCTGAAGGCCAGGGCAGTTGGGTCTTGTCTGGTGCGGTGTCGTAGATTCGCTGTTTCCAGCGTACCTCAACTGATTCCCCCTCTTCCTCAGGACTTGGTAGAGATGCTGGTTTCAGTAGGCTGAACTCCACACGCCGCTGACGCGACTCTGTGTGACGTACAGACGGCATGAGGAGCTGTATCTCCTGTTCATTAACACTGTCAATAACAGGGTACATGACTTCCGGTTTCGACATCCAATCATACGCCAACTTCAAGACCAACGTCTCCCGTTCGTAGGTCTTTGCGTTGTTCTCCATATTGTTGTAGTGACTGCAGATTTCTGTGATTTCGTCCGAGGTGTATGTCGACGGTCGTTTTGCGATCAAAGCCACGAGAAGACGATGGACTACGACGTCGATGTACCTGCGAATAGGTGACGTGAAGTAGGTGTACGCTGATTGGTTCAAAGAGTAGTGACCGTTGTCTTCGGGCTCGTGATTGGCTGAACACTTAAACACGGCTCTGTCCTGAATGCCGCGCAACTGCAGCAATGCTCGAGCCAGGGTTGGGTGATTCTCATCCGTGCACACCAGCTGCTGTATCGTGTCCAGGTCTCCACTCAAAGCAGCAAATCTGATCTCATCCCAGATATCTTTACGTAACGGGATGTCGCCGGGCGGTGCATCTGTATTCTTATCATCTGGCAATGTCTTGGACAGCTCGACGGAATGGCCGGAGAGGCCAGCATGATGTCTTCTCCAGTTCTCAAGTTTCTCCTGCTTCGGCGGCTGCTGTTTACGAAGAGGTGTGGTCTGTGGAAACGTCTGTAGTAAGACCCGCGCCACCGTGGTGTTGGCTAGGATCATCATTTCTTCCACCATTGTGTGAGCTCTTACAGCTCTGTCTTTGTCCTCGTCTGGCTGGTGGTACAGGTGCGCTGGACCCAATCTCTTCTGCCGCCGGGCCGCTGCGATTGTGTGCAGTATGCGGACACTGCCTTGCACCTCCTGCGGTACGGACAAGGAGCCCCACCCGGCTATGATATCCTCTGCTTGTGCATAGCTCAGCTTCGCCCGAGAATGGATAACACACCTCTCTATCTTCAGTTCGTCAACAGTATCCCCGTCACGGTTAAAGGTCACAAACAGTGACAGGGCCAGTCGATCTCTGTTGGGTAGCAGACTGCACACCCCTTCACTCAGCCCTTTGGGGATCATGTGGACAGGGTCTTTCCCAGTGTGTGGATAGAGAGTAGTGGATCTCTCCTTAGCCTCCTTGTCTAAATCACTTCCAGCTGGGAGGAAATAGCTGACGTCAGCGATGTGTATCCCGACAGTGTAGGTTCCATCCAGATTATCCTCCACACTGAGGGCGTCGTCCAAATCCTTGGCTTCTGGTGGGTCTACAGTGAACACGGTGTGTGTTCTGGTCAAGTCCTTTCTCTGATTTCTCTCCTTCGGCGGGATCTGCCAATCTACGAAGTACCGTTTGTTGACGTCCTCCTCGACTTTCCCCCTGTATTTGCTGGGCACGTTGAATTTGTGGTTGAGTATTTCCATGCTTGTTTCCAGTGTGCTATCTGGGGTGATGACATCCGTCACTACACCCAGGGGGTAGACGTACCTCGGCGTCCACTTCAGGAATCTAACGACAAACAACTTCTTGTAAGGATTCCTGGGGTCGATGTCTTCATACTTCTTGAACTTGATTGAAGCGTCCGACATGTAGCTGTACACACGTACATTATTTTGTCGTCTGTTCTCTTTGCCGTAGTAGGTCATTAGTTTTGGTGCGTCAGTGTTTATTGGGACCATTACGTTAGGGTTATTGCTGTCAATAACACAGACGAACTTCCTCAGGTGCAAGGAGACTGCTGATTTGAGGACCCCCACGACTCTGCCTTTCTTTGTGTCTGATTTAGTCATGAATACTTCCGACTCTTGGTCATCAGCGTTCTCGAGAATTTCCACCACCACCTCGTCATTTGTCCAGCCCAACCCTCGGTTCTTTCTGCTGTTAATCTCTATGTCGTCTTCGTCTGTACCGATGATTTCACCGTACGCTGTGTAAGTTCCCTTCACGATCAGCCTGCATCTTCTGTAGCGGTCTGGTTCAGTTTGGAGAAGGTTTTCCAGTTCGTCTGGTGAGTAGTTGGTATAGAAGCATTGGTTGTCGCTCTCCTCTTGGACTTCAAGTTGTGTGGGGTCATACGGCTCATCCTCACCGGAGTCGTACTCCCTATCGGCATTGTCTGCTCCCAGGCGGGGTCTCTGCAGTCTTGACGGGGCTGGGCGTCTCACACTTGCCCGTTGTCCTGGGCCGTAGTGCAGATAGACTTGCGATGGGTCCCTTTGGCTAGGCACCACGGTCACCTTGTCGGGGTCGAACATCTGGGCTTTGAAACGCCTTGCTTCTTCTTCGTTCTCGTCTTCTAGACTTTCAAGAATGAGCTGTCTGATGATTTCGTCTGGCTCATCTACTTTCGTGGGTGGCTTGGCAAGAGATCCTGATGTAGAGCCAGGTGGTGAGGCCCCCTGATTCTGTATCCCGGAAGCTGTAGGACCTCTTGGAGTGAAAGGCTGTGCCTCTGGGTTGAGAGTCGTGCTCTCAGTTGTTTCGTAGATTTGGCTCATGGTGAGTGTCTGGGGGAACAGGCTCTTGTTCTTCTCACATTCGGAGATGAACTTTTGCCAGACTCTTTGGCAAGCTCCACGTGAACAGAGCGCGTGTGGGTCTCCTACCACGGCGACAAGGGACTGCGCTCTGGTCATGGCGGTGTTCAGGAGCTTACTGTCTGACAGGAAGCCGTAGCTGTTCTTGTCGTTCTTCGGGTCACACGTTGCTCTGGTCCTGACCGTGCTGATGAAGACTGCCCTGAACTGTTTACCTGAATAAAAGTTTTGTTATCACGTCATAAGAAACAGAACGTTAAGTTATCACAAAGTCGTTGTCACATGTGCACAGAACATACATTGTGTTCCCCCTAGCTAACGAATCTTGCTGCATTCTTTTGGCGCGCGAGGGTCATAGGAACACATTAGGGTCATTTTAGGTACCCAAGCAGCATAGCACATAGCATTAACACAATGATACAATAGGTCTAGCACTTAAGTGAAGGAGAACCTACCTTGGATATTGGTTACCATTTCCACAGTAACGCCACCCAAACGTTTACGACGCAGCTCTTTTCTGATTAGCTGTGTCTGTGAAAAGAGAGTTAAAGTATGAGGTTTCAAACTTGAACGTTTACCATCAGTGCAGAAATAGAACCATTCCTAAACCCGTGACTAATATTGCTGTAATAACTGACCTGATTGTGGTATGGTGTGATGACTCCGATGTCTCCCAGCTTCAGTTCACCCCACTCCTCCGGCCAGTCTTTCACCAGCTGCTCTACTCTTTCTGAGATCTCCAACACCTTTGGTTAAACAGAAAGAACAAGTTAATTAAGAAGCTGCTCATATCTAATAAAACTATCGTTGTAGTCAGTCACCAATTGCAGAATGCAGATATTGGAAAGTTTGAATTGTTATCTAGAGCACCCTTCACCTCAGCCATGTTGAAGTACGATGTGCTGTAGTCTCCCGTCTTGTCGTCTCCCTCGGCGCTGAAGAAGGTGAGCGGGTACCACCGCGGATGGCGAGGCTGGCCCACGCTCTTCAGCCCTCCGTAGAAACTTTCCGACAGGAACCGGAGAATCTCCTCGCAGCAGCGGTAGTTGTCCTTCAGCATGACCAGGAAGGGGTTTTCCGCTTTCTCTGTCGGACCTTTCGTGAGCCTGATGTACCTGTTTATTTGCGAGAACATCACATCAATCAGAACATAAATTCATGCATTATCTTAAGCAAACTTCTGTTTATAAATTTCTACGTCGTCAAGGAATTTTAAGCATTCGATCGATGAGGATAATCTTACCTTTGCACCATCCGCTCCAGCAAGGACTTGTCAAACGATAAGTCGCACGCTTCTGTGGAGTATACTTTCGGGCTCATCTGTTTGTGGTCCCCGGAGAGGACGATACGCGTGGTGGAATCGGCGAGGCAGAGCGGGAGGAGAGTTTCACACTCCATGGCCTGAGCTGCCTCGTCCAGCAGGATGTGAGTGAAGTGTCCCGGCCTGAGGCCCATCCGGATCAGGTACATGGAGGTGGTGAGGGTGACGATGACGATACGGTGGTTCATGATGTCTTCCATCTCGGGCATGGCGAACGACTTCTTGTCGGGGTCCAGTTTGCAGTACTGCATGACGGTGTCGTCTACGGTCTCCAGGCGGCGCTCTTTGAAGTACACACGTAACGGGGTCGCTCCGGGATGACCGGATGTGACGTATGGATGGATGTACTCTTTCAGGTACAAGTCAGCAGCGCTGTGGTAAAAAGTATATATTAGTGTATATAACGTTATTGCTTCCGCCATTTTCGTTATTTAGACTTCATTCGCCAGTATAATACAATATACATATGCAGAAGACTCATAGATACATTTAATTGTATGTGCTATATGTAAAACATTTGATATGGGAAAAAGATAACAAAACTTACCTATTGGAGTGTGTCGCGATGAGGACATTCGTGCCCGGCTGCTGGAGAATCTGAAGGGCGGCTGAAGCCATCGTCCTCGTCTTTCCTGTACCGAAAGGGCCGTACAGCACCACCGGTGGGTTAGTGTCCCCAGTCCCGCTCATGATGCGGGTAACAGCGGTCCTCTGTCTCACGTTAAGCTGCGCGTCCTGCACTTGACGTGTCGGCCGCGAGGCCTCCCCCACCCTCACCCAGGACCACGACATGTCCGCCTTGCTGGGGAAGATGGCGTGAAGCGCCGCCATGTTGTCCACAGCGAAGTGCATGTAGCAGAAATGTAAGCGGTTGAGTTGGAAACGGATTTCAAACTCCACTGTTGTTCCGGAGCTGAGGTTCAGGTCTTGGCAGCAGCGGCTGGACAGTTGGAGGTAAATCTCGTCTTTTCGCCGCCCTTCAAACCCCTTCAGTTGGACGATGGCGGCTTCATAGACCTAGAGGAAAAGTGAGAAGATTTCCATTAGTATATGTACAAAACAGCATCAGTTTATACTCTGAACCATTTTGTGGAAGACACTAAGTTTGCATCCGTATAATAGTTTCCTCAGCTTGATAGTTCATAGGATGTTGTTGGTGTTGTTTTCTTTAACTCTACCATGTACAGGTCGTACATAGTGGTGCAGTGTAATATATTATTACCAGCTACCGCCGCGCCGCGTGCCCGCAAAGCAAGTGTGTTACGCCAAAGGGTGGTTATACCGGCTATACAGATACAAATACAGTTTGATCTGACAGGGAGGAAAATTGCGTGCGCTCTAACCTTGTTAGTATCGCTTCCTTTCGGAGCCAGTAGAACGGTGTTGACGTTGGTGAGGATGAGTTTCCCGGCCGGTCCGTCCTCGCTGAGCTGGTCCTGTAGATGGAGCTTGGTGTACAGCGTTCCTCCCTCAGCGAACAGCAGAATACCGTCTGATATACGGTCGGACAGCTCCAGGGTTGTCTCTTTGCGGATACTGAAAAAAATGTCCATACATTAAGAACTTATATCACAAGCATTCTTGACATAGTCAATGTGATTATGAGAAGGGACGAAGCTTTCGTAAACTTTCAAGTACAGCAAGTACAGCGGGAAAGCTTTCATCTGTCTGTCTTACCTGGCAATTTCCCTGTTTCGTGTCAGTTCTTCCAGGTATAGAAGGTCGTGCATGCGCGTCTTGTAGACCGTCTCGTCCAGCTCTTTCTTACGCCGCGAGAGTCTTGCCAAAACTTCCCCTGGTTCCTCCGTCGGTTCTTTGTACTTCGCCAGCAGTGCCTGATCCGCTGGGTTGAGTTCTTTGGCAAACTTGACGATACTCCTGTTCCCACTGTGCCAGCGTTCGAAGTCCAGTGGAGCGGGAATGACTTTCGCGATGTCCGGACCTACACTACCCACGTACAACACCAAACGCCTCTTAACCACCGGTCGTTTTCCGAAGTCAAAAATGACCCATTGGGGGAAAACCCCGAACATCTGAGACGTGCCCCGGACTTCGACAATGTAGGTGTCGTCAGAGGGATGTAGAAATTGTTTTCCCTCCGCGACTTGGCAGTTCCCCTCTAATTCTGTTCCATGCAAACAGAAGTGCGTTCTGTGCTCATTGAAAAGCAACGCAACATGCTCTAGCGGCTCCTAAGGAAAACAGGAAAATAGTGATGCCTTGATCAGCGACACGCGTGCCATTTGAACTTGCACCAACAATATCGATGAAAAGGAATTTTTTGTCCTTAGCTTTGCTCAGAGATTAGAAAGGAAACGTTCAGAGAAAACGGTCCAACCTTGCCTCAAAAGACAAGTTTACGGGGTTTTCCACATCAGTGGTAGGTAACACCCGAGAGCTTCCAAGTCGAAGGACTGAAAGAGCGCTAAAGGACAGAGAGATAGAGAAAAGGGAAAGGAAAGAGAGAGAGAAAAAATCATTTCAGTGTCCAATTATAAGAAGGAAAAGCGAAAAGCGAAAATTCATAGAGACAAGAAAACAAAAGAATTTATGAATATAACAACAACAATCAGGACTTACCTTAGAAGTCACAGTGAAAGTCCACGTGCACGTTTCTCCCTTTGTTTCTAACAGAGCGCTCTCCTCCCGGGTACAGGAAATACTGACTCCCGTCAGCGAGTCTGCAATCTGGTGATGGATAGAAATAAAAATATAAGTCACGTCTTACCGAGTACAAAACAGCAGGAGGTGACCAGCCATAGGCATAGTACAGGGGCTCTAAATGTGCTTGGAGACAGCCCCGTTACTCACTATTGATGGTCCATCTGTGGTCTTCTCATACTCGTCCCAAAGTTTGTCCATGTAGGAGAACAGGTTCTGTTTCCGCGCCATTTCCATGTTGAGCCACCGGTGCTGACGTCTCTCCTTCCACTCGTCCAGTTCTTCTTGGCTGTGCGCTTCCGGACAGATGTTGTGTCTGTCTTCAACTCCATCGTACTGACAGGAGCCGGCTGCATGGCTACAGAGGGCAGTCAAGAATGACAACTGATGTAAGTTTTCAGTATATAGATAGGGGTTGAAAGCATTATTGAAGAAGACCGTAGCATGTCTGGGACAAAAGATTAAGAAAAAACCGTTCTGCTGCAGTACCAAGGTCATTCATTAGGAGGCTCACATTTGACCTTGGAATTCGTCGTTTCAAGGCCTACGTACATACCAAATATCGTCAAAATCCATAAGGCTTTCTTAAGTTATGCTATCTTAAGTTACGTTAAGTTATGCTGACCAGAAATATGCAGAAAAACACACACACACAGGCACGCATACAGACAGACAGACACACACGCACAGGCACACACACAGACAGACCAAAAACAATACCTCCATTTTTCATGAAGGTAAAAGCAAGATATAATTCAATACCGTCGGCATAGTCTGTACTCCTCGTCTCGTCCAATCCACGGCGGCCGGCGGTACTGCCAGTTGTCGCTGGCGTCTGACCTGAGCCGGGCCTGATGTCCATCGGAGGAACAGTGCTGGTCGAACGTCACCCTGCCGTTACAGGTCTTGTGACACAGGTTACAGTAGTACTGACTGATCCACGGTCGGAGGAGAGGGAAGCCTGACGTACGCGGAGAAGCTTGAGGGGACGGGGTGGAGGGGGATGACGGTCGGGCATGCTGTTGTTGTTGTGAGAGATTCACCAAGACTTCAAGGTCACGAACTGCAGTCAACACACAATGCAACCATATTTTTAGAATCTACTTCAATATCTTTACGGCAATATCTTTACGGTAGTTACCAGCTTTACAATGTGGTAAGGGTAGAAGGGTAAAGAAATGTACTCCATCATCAAAAGACATAACGTTACAGGACATAATGTTTGTTAAGAGCAGAGAATAAAAGAGGAAATAATACATGTATTATTGTACATCATTGATTAATCACATCGAAGAAACAATTTCAGTTTCTCACGTTTCTGTTCTTTCAGGAATGTCCATACTTTCCTCTCTTCTTCACTGTGAGCATATGTGCACTCCTGGCCAAGAAAACAACATTTGCCTGGTTGAATGTAGCGGCACATCTCAAAATTTGATATCCACTTTTCGGGAATCCTCCGTATCTCCTTTCTGGTGTCAATGCTCAGACACATTCTGTTTTCTTCGTTCCATGCGTGTTTGTTTCGTTCGCAAGTCTTGTCGTTGGTTGACGCTTTGCTGACAACACGACTCGACCCGGGAGACAGCCAACACTGCCGGCAGACGAACTGTAACCTGAACGGACAGTCCACGTGACGCCACTGAGCGGGAACGTTTCCCGTTGACCGGGAGGCGGTTGCCTCTGTTGAGCCGTTGACCAGCTGCCGTTGTGGCGTCCCGTACTTCCTCTCCAGCATCCAAACATCCATCTCGACTTGCCCGTGCGCCCGTCCGCACCGTCCGCCTCCGAACGTACACTTGTCCATGTACGCACAGAATAGCGGGATCTGGTTGGCCGTGAGCTGTGGCGAAGGCATTATCGGTGTAAACCTGGACTCCCCTTTACTCGTTTCTCTGGCGTGGACGAGAAGTTCGATGTCCTGTTGGCGTTGTCCCTCTGGGAAGTGTCGGTCACACAGCGAGGAGTCACTGATGACCTGAAATACAGCGCCACGCAATCATTACTCAATCGTAAATCAAACATATATGCAACTTTTCCTTCACAAATATCAAATGTAAGAAAAAATATTCAAGCGTAGCAATCATCACCATGTTGCTTGCTTACCGTAGGACTGCCTTGGAAGCACTCCTTGCATAGAAATCGGAAGATGCCGCCATGTTTTTGCCGCAGTCTTCGGATAGCATCCGCCTCAAACACGGGTGTTTTGCTGAGCTGAGACATCAGCTCATCACGGTTGAACTTTCCTTGTCGCTCTCTCGTCCAGAGGTCGATTTCTATGTCGTTGTGAGTGAATGTGCATCTGTAATAGAAACAACAGTCATCTGTAATTCTTTAAAATTCCTATGACCGAAGGATGATGACATAATGACACTTATATTTACGACTAGTATAGAGAGTTGAAAGTGACATGTTCAAAAGTTGTTGAAAGATTGGCCAGAAGCGCTAGTAAACTGAAATTTTGGTCGTACCTTGGCTCCCCAAGCATGCACGGCATTGACGACTGAAACTGCTGGCAAAGCTTGTACGTCCCGAAGAAAGCGTGCTGCGGACGCGGGCGGACTTTCTTAAACGCGCCGTCGGTGTTCTTCCTTCGCGCAAGGAGGACGTTTTCCCCGCAGTTGTGCTTCTTGTTTTGTACGTAAGAGTGCGCTTCTGCACCGTGCTTGTTCTCGTCCCTCGGATAGCAGACATCGCACGCTAACTTGTAGTCATAAACCCTTCTGCGTAGATCGCCGACGCTGCTTTCTTCATCAACGGACTCGGTTGTGGCAGAAGATTCGGTGTCTGAGCTGTTGCTAGCTGTTTCCTTGATTTCTAACCAGCGGTTAGGGTCTTTGGTTTTTAGCTGGCCAGTCACGATTTCACGGTTAAACTTATCCTCGCGGTCTCTTGTCCAGAGATCGCTTTCTATCTCGTTGTGAGCAAACGTGCATCTACAAAGAAAAAAAAACATGTTGCTTATGATAAAGCCTGCACATAACCGTCAGTCCTTCAGGGCAGCAACATTCAACATGATTTAACAGACTTATTTTACAGAGACTCTTCAGTCTTACATAGGCAAAGTTGTTTTAACCGCCGCAAAGGCGTACCTAGTCATATAAGAGATTTATAAGCCAAGGCTTATAGTTACCTGGGTTCTCCAATCTTGCACTTGCGAGACCCTTGGAACTGCTGACAAAGCTTGTATGTTCCTTGGAACAAAAAGCTGTGTTTCGGGACCGGACGAATCTTCACGAAAGACTCTTTGCTGTGCCTTTTCCTAGCGAGCAAAATGTTTCCTCTACACTTGTGACTGGTGCTTAGTTTGTAGGAATAAGCTCCCAGGCCATACAGACCGTCTTCCCGTACAAAGCACCCATCGCAAGCTAAGAGGAACTCGTAGTTGCCTGACTCTAAGGTGCTCACGGCCTGGGGAGACCCTGGGCTTTCCCTACTCAGTGCACTATTGGTGTTTTTACTGGCTGGAGCACAGGAAGCTAGACTAGTGCTGGGACCAATGTTGCCCAGACTAGAGCGAGAGCTGCTACTGGAGCTGTGGGTAGGACTGGGGCTGGAGGCTGGGGTACTTGTAGAGACGGCAGCGATCTGTAAAGGTTATATCATGGTAGATTGTAAGAGTTGTTTTCTTCGTGCTGCCAAAGCTAAGTCAACATGACACCGCCTTGTCAACATGACACCGCCTTTTATGAATATACGGAAAGCTTTATATTCTAAACGATGCTAAGGCAGATTTACAAAGCTCAAAGTACAGAGAGACCAGCAGATTCATTTGAAAGTGCATTTAGTCTGCCGATCCTAAATTCTCTAGGTTAAAGACTCAACGTTACCAGAAATTACCCACCGGTGCCTTTTGAACCTCTCCATCGATGCTACCGTCCTTGCTGTCCATTTCTTCTTCGTCTTCATGCTTTTTCTCTTCTTTTCGGTCTTCCCTCGTCCTTGTATCGCCATTGATGAAGACGTCATCTCTTCCTTCCCCGCCACCTCCAATTTTCATCTGCCCGTCAACTTCAGAAACCGCTGCTCGTGCTTTTGAAGCTTCTCGCTCAGAGGCTTTCTGTAAACAAGAGATTAGCTGGTAAATAGATAGCTGCTAAAGACCCAGAGTTTTTCGAAAATTTCAATGAGTCAATTTTCTTTTTGAGTTGGAGAGGAGTTTAATTTCCATTATGTAATTTACCAAGTCAGATGAACTTTCATGCTAACAGTCTTGCACCTAATTTACGGCTCACGGCTTTTCTAAGACAATGTGTCCTTTCTCATTTGCATTTTCACCTCCAAAACTATTATTGTATATACTATATTTTCAGGAACAGTTGTCAAAGTTCAATGTTTGGTCTTTGATATTTTTAGCTGTGTGACCAATGTTCATTGTAATTACTAGTACCTGTTTCCTCTTTTCCTCTTTGAGTGCCTCTTCTTTCTTCCTTGCCTCGTGTTCTCGAGCAATCTCCTCCATTTCCTGTAAGCATGGTGCTTATTACATCATAATATGAATATGACAATCTAGAGAATTATTTCACCCCCACCCCTCCCCCTCCATTGTTATGATGTAGACCTCTTCATGGCTGTAGAAACAAAAAGATAACACTGAATGTTTTTTTGCAACAGTAAAGCGAAAAATGTACGTACCTTCTCTCTTCTCTTCTGCTCTGCTTTCAGCTGCTTCTTAGATTTAGATTTAGGCTAAGGCGAAAGAAAAATAATTTTGTGTAAACAGTTATGCAATCTCGACCATAGCACAGCCACATATCAATCAATTACATTTATTTCTCTGTATTTTGGAGTACGGGTATGGTGCTCCATGACATGGCTATTTGTTTTAGACTACCCCTTACCTTAACAGCAGTTTGTGCTTTCTTCTTGTTGTCATTTTCTTCCGTCTGTTTATCCTTATCATCCGTTGAACTTGGCACCTGAAGATAACAGTTGCGACTTACGTGAAGAACTCTCTGACTCGCATCGTAACTTTCTACTGTATCCTAGATTATAAAGAACAACCATCGACATGGTACTCAATCAACATGTGTTAAACATTATCACAGGGGGTTATTTACAGTCATGACAGCTCAGCTCTAGCCAGCCGAATAGCGCAAAATCGTTTTCAAAATCGTACTAGTTCTGGATTATTTTATTTAAGTTGTACGTACTGTATCAACATAATTTCTCGTGTTTTTTTAGTAAGACCACCACACTACTACGTACGACCGCACTGATGATATTCATAGATACTCACGTGTGCATCATCATTTATGTCATCAGATATTTGGCCTCCTCCCACACTGTGTCGTGCAGAAGCTGACTGGCCTGGGCTGGTCTGGAGAAGGAGACGGCGGATCGCGGGTGGTAGCAGCGGCCGGATTTCTTCCATCAGTGCATGTATGGCAGAATCCTGAAACATCATTGACGTGACGTTGTCACTATTTTGTTGCATGTAATGCTAGGGCCACATTTCCAAGCCGGGGCCCGGCCGGACAGTTTGCGAGAACGAAACACACAAAACATTTATAGATAATCATAAGCATGATTTATGTATATTGTTGATATGCATTTTTTTCATTCATTAAAATAGCCCTCATATGGCTGTGCAACAAAGATTGACTTACCGAGGAAGCTATCTGTCTGCACTCTTCTGCAGTGTGCCATGCTTCTGAGTAAAGACCCCGTGCCTTCAGAGCGCGAGCCTTCCAGTACAGAGGCTTCTGGCGATTTTCAGACGGTAGCTCTGCCAGTCGTATGATTTTCAAAGCTGTTGGAGAGAGCAATAACTTAATTATAAACACGAAACGTTATTCTTCATAACTTTCAAGGTACGATATCTGCACAAGACACAATGTTGGTATTGTGAATACTACATGTATATATATATAGCGAAATACGACAGAGCGGGATCGAAGACTGACACCTATATGTGTAAGCACACTGCCCTTACATAGAATTCTAAGTAAAAAGCGTCTGTACCTTGGTCACAATCCTGTATGGCACCTTCATAGTCATCCTGCAATAGAGGACAGAAAGCGCGTTTGCGAACTCACATGGCTTTGTTACAGCGTCAACCAGAGGGAAAAAAGACAGACAAAAGAATTGGAACGAGAAACAACAATCACAGTCTCACAGGAAAAACGTCAACACTTAATCCTACTCCCACTGTGATTGCACACAACAACTACCTTGTGTACATATATAGGGGTGCATAGCGCATCTGACTAGTGGTCAGTAGAGGTGAAAAAAAAATGTATTTTTGGTCCTTCATTCTTACCAGCTTGAAGCGACATGCCGCTTTGTTGGTGTAGAGTTTCCGCACGAACTCTCTGTCGGCAGCGCTGTTGTGGAAGCCTTCTTCATGTAGGACCTGGCAGACCTCCAGACACTGTGTGTAGTAATCTACAGCCGTCTCGTAGTCTTCTTCTTCATAACAGTCGCCCCCTTCCTCCTTCACGTCCTTCCTGAGTTTATGCAGCCATTCCTGAGACGAAGACGAAGTATTACAGGGGTCTGTTGAACACTTTCTGTCCATCGTATGTTAGTAGCATTTCCATTTTTGTTCATCCAATCATGACCACAATCAATCAACCGATTGATCAATCAATCAATGTTCTTGATATATCACGCAAAGTCCTCCAAATAAAGCCTTCTTTGACAGAAGTCAATACCAAAAGAATACACATGAAACATTCACTGAATGCATATTTGCTTTGTAAATGTTTGACAAACAAACAAACAAACATGGGTGATAATGTCATCCTACCTTATACAGCTGCGGTGGTCCATTCCATGGTACTTCTGACCTGTAGGAGTGTCATAATGGTGAATACAAATGGTATAAATATAGAACATCTTTTGTACATGAAATCAAATTAACATGGAAATATGAAATATAGGTTCCATTCAATGAATAAAGAAACCCACCATATGTACTCCATACGATCTTGTATATCAAACCGCCTTCGTTGTCTCTCCCGTGAAAGACGTATTGGGCTGAAACTTCGGTGTGTATATGTGTGGCTGTACTCTCCACCGAAGGGCGTCAAAGATGAGAAGGCTCCGGCACCGAGAAAAGGAGGATCTTCCACCACAAGTTCCCACTCTCCAGTGAAGGGATTGGGGATCCAACGGTAGTCCATCTTTACTCAGTGGACGTTCGACATGGCTTCAGCACTGTATTTTGGGAAACAGAATGTGAGTTTACTATATTTGTATATTTCGGAACATAAAGACAGAACAAGTCAATCTGTATGTAGTAATTTATGAGACGAAATGTGCGGGAGAAACCGAAAACCTACAATAAGATTTTCAAGGGTTCCCCAATTCAATACACAACATTGTGGTTGTAAGATTTAACAAAAGTAAGAAAAGCTTATCATTCTAGCTATACTGACATTCTGTGCAGCACATGCCGATTCGGGATGTAAGCGTTTTGTTTACCAATCCCAATACTCGCTCCCTAAAAGTAATGGATCAGTATTGTAGCCTCGGTAAACCAATATTGTAGCCTCCTAAACACGACAGAGATTTTAAGTCTCATATCAAATGCTCCGGTCGTACACTTGTATCTGCATCTGCAATACATAGCGGCAAGTCACATGCCAAAAACAGGGCTGGAACTGAATGGACCATTCCGTTAACATTTTTCTCTCATAATGCAAACGAAGACAAATATCTCAAGTTGGTGGAACGAAAATTATCCATTGACTACTAGAAATCATCCGATTTATAATGTATATCAAAGCCTGTCAAAGCTGATTTAGAAAGGTAAAAATAATCACTGAACATTGAACTCTAGTATTATCGACATGTCTAAACGTTTGTTTTGTTTTGATCATGCTGATCAGGTCAAACGTACAAATTACCTAAAGAGTTAGAGGCAAGGTGGATCACCTGGAATGTCGCCCAGTCATCGGTACAGGACAGGCCTCATGACCAGTTGAGGAAACATATAGCCTTTTATACCACATGGGCGATGGAGAGGATAACTCACTCTGTGTCAGTAAGTACTATCATTACAGGTGGTCGTTACTAGAAATCAACCCTTGTAGTTCCTGGACGGTGACACATCGACGATGCTTACTTTTTAAGTCTATACGTTTACCTGCACTTGCATCGATCTATAGCCGTGACAATGTTCCTTCTATTGACATATCTACGTTACGCAAGCTAAGGCTTCATTGATCTAGTATTTCCGGGTGAGCCTAGCGGCCGGATGCACTAACCTTGACCTCTGCCAATCAAGTCTGGCGGGGAACCTGCAAGACGTTCAGAATCTGCATGTTTTTTTTACGGAAACGTTGATTTTTTTCCTATTTTTCATTCACGAGAGGAGGTTCAGTCACGATCGACTTAGTAAAAGAAATGTTACTAACGTTATATATACAACCCGGCCTACAATAGTGTAAAGTACATACCCAGGGATCGGACGTGCTTTCTATTCACAGAAAATATTACGTTACTGGCGAAGGATTATATATGAACGCTGAACAGGTACTCGTACATGTAACAAAAGGCTCATGCCTGGGTGAAAAACAGACATCATAGCAAAGTTGGTTCCTGATAGTATCAGGAGATCCAAAGGTTTCAGGTAACGTCTCAGGTTCCTGAAATGTGCGATCATTCACTAACCTTGACCTGTCTGGCTTATAGTGCTACCGGTACGTCACGATATCGGATTCCTGATAGCCCAGAACGCATCATTTATGTGGTAAAAATCCCATAATTTACCTTCTATACGATCAGTATACGTATTTCCCAATCGAGTCAATAGTCATGAATATCGTCTTTGTCACGTAAGTTCGCAGATGCTTAAACTCGGTAATGACTGACCTATTACGTCAATGGCAATTCATGACACAGTATAAACCTAGTACATGTGTTGTAGCTTCAACACCTGGTCGACTAGCCTAAACAAATCTAAAACAGGAATAGCATTCAAACTGTTGACGGGACCGTGACCAACAACAACGCCAAAGTCCCGCGTCAAAGTCTGTTGAGCCGTAACAGGGCTCTGAACAGGACATGAACTAATTTCTTGCATCATACTACTGCAAAGGAACTGTAACAATATGTATGACGTTTTTGAAAACAAAACAAAACATGTATGCCCAGCCGCTGTATAAGTCCCTTGCACGTTCATGTTTACAAGCGTGGCTGCTGGTTTGAGATCAAATGCGTACCTGGTTAATATGGTGTTGACTCCAACGGTCTTGTTGCAACCCGACTGTACATTTCACTTTTTTATACCGCACACACTATACTCTAAACTCACCTTGGAAAGTTAAATGTACATGTTGCGTGTACATATACATACCTTGTATCCGTTCTTGTTCGGAAGTGTGTAAGATTGCCATGCGCGATAATTTAATATGTAACCTGGCACTAGTTTCGGTGCGCCGTACCAATGTTTACCTTGTCTAGTTTCGCGTCCGGTAATTCTTCTCAACAATAGCCTGTCGACAAAAGAGCGCCCAGTCGGCCGCTAACTTGCAGTGCTATGTGGCCAGACCACAAACGTTTCGAGGAAAAATCGTGACATTTTTCTAGTTCCTATTGCGCACTACAACGCATCTGAGCAGGCTACATGTAGCGCTACCTGGTCGGCTTACATAAGTGTCTACCGTAGCACCTTTACTCCTTTACGAATATTGATATCTAGACAGACCATCTATAGCTCAATGTCACAGGTGTTGCAACATCCCAGCCTCTATGTGTGTAGTTTCACAGCCTCTCTTTGCCAAATAAAACCGTGACAGTCACATCAAGTATCCAGCACTTGATAGCTAGCGGACAGGCCACCCTCCGTTGTATTTTAACTTGTCAGTTAAGAATCGACTCTTAATTTCGTGGACGACAGCCTTCATCGTGCAAAACAAACATTGCAACACAGAGTTGAGTCAGTTGACACACCTCTGAAAATCAATACGCAACAGAACAATGTCACCCCTCTCGTCAGAAGTCATGCGTGGGAATTTATGCTTCATGTCTATGAGGCAAGACCTGCTAAATGTCGGTCATAAGTTGATCATGACCCGAGATAACGATTATATTGCCCGCGCCGCGGGAATGTAGCTAGGTACCCGGTAGAGTGGCACACTCAGACAGTTTGCAAGTGTCAAACATCGATCGCGAGTTGTGATAATGGTAATCTCAGGTTGTTGTAAGAAGGGGAAGAACATCTGGTAGAAATGGCGGTCAATTCACCCGGAAATGTTAGTCTGACTTTCTATGAGATACTAGTAGAATATCACAATATATTCCTCATTTTCCTAAAATACTTTTGATTCATATCAAGACCAAGCATTTCCAAACACCTAACAGTGAGAGATCAAATAGATACTGCTAATTAAGTAGTAATGAAATCTATCATTCTGACGTATATGAACCGTTCATTTCGGCGGCATGTTAGCATTTCGTCGACTTGCATATTGTTACCTACACGCCCTTGTGCTTAATTGGTATGTCTGAACAACTGCACCCATCGTACCTGTATTTGGTCGATTAGATCCTGCCAGTCTTCTGACAGCTGCACAACATTTTCCCGTCAAAACTCCGGCTGTTTACACCACTGTAGTGTACTTCCAAAGATGTTTCTTGGTTTCGTCCCACCTCACACCGACCTTTGTAAACATGTAGGCGCAACGCCATTGGGTAATGACATGCGCAGTGCGATATTGCTAAAGTTTCGGTGTGTCCTTTGACCAAGTTTTGACTCTACCTTTATTTACTCACTGGCAGGACCAATTCTAAGCAAGAGCCAACTGTAACCACCATGCAGAAGTTTTAAAGTAATGTTTGATCATTTGTAACCGTCCTGCTTTTTGTGCAAAGAAATATCAGCAAAATAGCCGTTTTCTTTGCGCTGTGAGTCATTATTGACATACTGCTTCTGGGATGGCTGACCGAAACTAGCGTTCAGTTTCACACAGCAATGAAACTACGATAGCCTGATTAAATCGCTTTACGGTTGCCGCTCGCCCAACATCCAGGGAGGATTATTGTATTGCCATTGTTTAGCTATAGATTGTCCAATGACCAGCTATAAATACTCTTTAAGTTTTATTGTTGTTTTCTTATCTTACCTTCCAATCAATTGCTCCTTTTTCATTTTTAACAGGGATTGCAGACTATATTTCCATTACCTGTAGGCATCTCGTAAACATGTATGATATTGAGTCAATTTCAATTTCAATTTATTGAGAAAATCAGCCTCGCAGCTTGTGCAGCTGAATGGCACTGACTTTTACACACTTACAGGTACTAAAATAACACTACCCTAAACAAAAAAAAAAGCATCAGACAAACAAGGGCATAAAGCAACCACGGTTAACGCAACAAGAAAGAAAAGTCCTCATTTGGTCTTCACGCAACAGACTTGTTATACAGGCATATGGCCTGGTGTAGAAAAGAGTTTTTGAGTCTCTGTGTGCGGGCGGCTGGCACTGTGATGGCTGTGGCATTTCTCAGGGTTCGCCCTGTGGCCCTGGTCCTTGCCGGTGGAACGAGGTCGTGGAGGGGATGATCCTCCTCCAGCATATTCTTATTCACGAGTCATGCTCCTAGCTCAGATAAGTTTAAGAATATTTTAAGTCTAAGAATCTTCATTACACTGGCCTAGATCTGGTGTTTGTGATGATATCAAATAAATGTCTATATGATTTTAAATTTTTGTCAGGTCAATTATGTGGTGATGAAATTAAATTACACTAAGCTGTGAGGAAAACTACAATTCTTACAAATGTGTAAAGCTCTTGGTACATATAGCACAGTTTGGGACCTGTTTACATATGAACTTAGTCTATATATTATGTATTTATAATCAGAGAATCAAGAATTCACAAAAGAAATGTCAACACAATGTTGTTTTGTTGATGTTGTTGTCTTGCCATTTCCCATCAGATACAACACCGACCTGTTCAGAACTAAGATCATTTTCTTCAGAAATACTTCCTATCATATTTCATTTGAATCAAGTGTCCTTCTGTGTTATACATGTACATGCACGATCATTACATGTTTCAGGGTGGTGTAGACACTACTTGGCTTAAGTGACACACTTAAATGTATTAGTCACAACAGAAGTAAAACAATTATCATCAAATTGTTTCACTGTCTTCACACTTCCAAACAATTGAAGAGAAACATGGCTGTTATCAGTAGGGGGTCATCTACCAGAAGTTATGTGCTCCAGGAAGGAGCTTTTTCCTTTGTGGAGACCCGTTCAGAGTTGTAGTGGATGAAGAGTGCTGAGGCAGCTGCCCTGGCTCTCAGGTCTGTCAGCTCCATGTCATGGGCCCACTCCACATTCCCCCATCTGACAATCTGGAGGGGAAAGGTTTATTCAAGGTCATTATTAAATACAGTAAAATTTGTCAAGCTCATAACAGAGTAAAATTTGTCAAGGTCATCAACACATTAAAACCAGTCAAGGTCATCAACACAGGGAAATCTGTCAAGGTCATAAACATAGTAAATCTGCCAATGTCACCAATACAATAAATCTGTCAAGGTCATCAAAACAGGAAAATCTGTCAAGGTCAGCAACACAGGAAAATCTATCAAGGTCATCAACATGGTAAAATCAATTAGACTATTATCTAGATCTTATCGCACAATACACTGAGAAACTAATCAGATGATGTTGTCAAAGTATACTACTACTAGTACTAGTTTGAAATAGACAATATAATAGACTAATATAGACAATAGTATCTATCATGATATTAGGTACATGCATATGTCTGTAGGTAGGACAATTGATGCAGAAAAGTTTGACCTGAAACTCTGTCTCCAGTCTGGCCAGTGCAACTGCCTTCTCCACAGTGAGATGTTTGTCCATGAGAGCGAGACTCAGCACCACTGACTTGAGAGTCTCCACCAAGCTTGTCACACCTGGAAATTAACACAGGTTTACAAACAATGACTGTGATAATGACCCTTTGTTTATTATTAGAAAATTGGCAAAACTTCACATCTTATACTGCACCTTATATTTGTCTAGCATTTCTAAAACATAACGATGTGCAGTACATATAGAATACAACATGGTGCATTCAGCATAACCCTCGGTCCCAGCCCTCCTGTGGGTTGGATTTCCCTCTGGCCGACTGTTTTTTTTTTTACAATTTTACATCATATCCACCCAAGAAGATAAGCCTTTCAAGGCAAAACATGGTATCAAACATTATTTTGGCCCAAGTATGACATAACTAGTTTATATATGCATCAGATGACTCACTGATGACAAGACCCATTCTTACCCACAAGAGACCAGTGGTTGTAATGTAGAAGATGTTTCTTTAATGTTGACTTGGTGGCTTTAGGAATAGTCGGACCATGGATACTGGTGCTGGATTGTAACTGGATATCATATCTGTGAGGAACAAATTTGTTATAAAGGACTGCCAAGGTCATGATCTGAAAAGAAAATGTTTGTACATGCACAATGATTCACTGTACATGTTACAAATTCTAGCACAGATCTTCCAATGTATGAATCGTATTTAACCTTCTCAATGGTTACAACTCAGTTTCAACAAAACTAATATTCAGGTATTTCATTCATTCATACACTGTCATTGAAAAATGTGTAGTTTGTAAATGTTGGGAAATCATTTAGCTAACATGTTTTCAATGCTGAAAGTAACTTTTCTGCAAGTTATTGCTCTATATCTTTATCACATTTTACCAGTATCAGTACCGGTACTGACCCCTACCTCTGTCTAACCCAGTCCAGCAGTGGTTCCCATTCCCTCTCCTCTAGCTCAGCTAACTCCACTGGACTCTCTTCTCTGTAACTACAAATAAAAAGGAAAAAAGATAACTAACATAAGGGAACAACCTGACATACAGATTTGCATTTTAAAAATTGCTGATTAGACTACAATAAAGAAGAGTTCTAATCATTTGTAGAGATGATAATACTTAGTTAGGTTATTACTAGTATCTTTGAAATTTTTTTTCTGTAATTGCCTGCATCCCCACTTACCATATTGTGTCTGTGTCCAGGAATGACAAGATGTCATCTACTATCTGTTGTGGTGTCTTCTTGCTTGGGTTGTCGATGGCAGTATTACACAGCTGCGTCTGGGTGTGACATGAAAAAAAATTATATATCTTGTTTCAGAATTAATTCTACCAATACAGATGAAGTGAGGTAAAAGGTAACTTTTCAGGTGTTTCACGTACCATGTGCATTTGTGACATTTTGATTTCTTTGTGCTGTGCCTCCCATTCTGTTGCAACAGCGATGGCGATTGGCTCGCTGGGCACAGAGAACAGGCGACTCATTGGTGTTTTCAACTTTCTCCTGTCCAGGTTGATCTCATACATGCCTGGGAGGAGGGGTCAAGTTACAAAGTTTGGTGGGTTAAACACAGGTAATGACCACGAATGATTGGACAGTAGACCACACACTTCGTAACTATCTATTTTAGTTCATGGCCATCAAATACAGTTGCTGTGAATGTTGAGAAATATGTTCCTCAAGGAATAATAGTTATCTGCATGACCCCTTTAATCACTTGCACATTACAAAGGATAAATCATGATGATGTGAAGGGGATTAATAAAGTTATGAAATTTGCAAAACTGTAGGTCTGTACTCACCATTAGATTGACTGATGGAAACATTCTTGTAGAATCTTTTTCTCGCTGAGTAGGTGGCAAAAGGGTGAAATGTTATTCATCCAGAAATTGAATTCAAAGACATAATTTCAGATATTCACTGTTATACACATGCATAAGGTGTTGTGCTACATGGCTCATTAGAGTTTTGAGCATGAGGGTACACGTGCGTTTTGAAGTTCAGAGCAAGGACATTATACACTGTGTATAATGTCCTTGTTCAGAGCTAAAACCTCAATGTTACAGGTGCATGGGAAGAAACCAACGTCGCTAATCTACTTCAAGTTATGCTTCGACTTTCACCTGCTGCCATCTGCCGTTCTATGGTCTGCATGGGAGAAAAAATCCGCCCTAAAAACCTTCCAGCATGTACGGAAAACACTCCTGTCGCCATTTTGTCAGGTCAACGGGGTCATCTGACGCACCTATTCAGAACTTAGGGGTGCAGACCTAAACACCCCTCTTAGAAATGGGACAGTCCCAATATTGACCAATCACAGCGCGCCATTCCGGAGATTTTCCATCACGTGGCGTCAGGAGGGTGCTGGAAAGTCTGCACCGCTCAGACTGTTATGCAAACTCACCTGAGCAGACGGAGAAAATGCCTGTCCGTGCAGAGAAGTGGGAACTCGTCCCTCCCCCTCCTGTGAACTCCAAACAGCCAGGACCTCCCCGCTCGCTGCTGTACTCGGGCTCCAGGTTCACGGGACACCAGAAGAGTAAAGGGAACAGTTACGATGTGGAGGTCGTGCTTCAGGTAAAAGGCGGCCGCCGGTGGGGAGGGGGGCGGTGGTGCCAGATGCATGTGTGTCTAGGGGGGCTAAGAAATTATAGGGAAATGAACAACTTAGAATCAAGAACAGGATGCATATCATACCGCCTATGGGACGGTATTAAACTCGTAGCGTTTTGTCGGTAAAATTATGAGAGTGTCATAATATATTAATTTTGAACCCAAAGAAAGAGCCATGGCAGAAACTTACAAATTATAATATGATTAGGTGAAAAGCTCTGACTCATAAATGAATTAATGTATAATGTGTTAAAGTATACTAGTAATTTATTAACATTTGGTAGATCTAGATAAGTTTGAGTAAGCTGGATTATAGCATAGCATTATATCTATTTGTCACTACAAAATGTATTTGCTTTACAACAAGTGTCATCTCACTGAATCTCTGTAAAAATATGTACCTTTTCTGTTCACAGCAAGTTGATGAAGAGAGCTGCTACTTGTGTGGGTATCTGAAAATCAAGGGACTGACAGAGGTAAGGTACTGTAAGGTTGAGGCAGTATGTCACAGAGTATACTTTTTACATATATATACAATGTGTATTACAACTTAGTACAAGATGGTGGGCCCTCAAGATGACTCTGACATTCTCAAAGAGCTAAATGTCCATTTTTAACAATGACACAAACACACGAAAATTATGGATTTAAATTGTAATCACACTGCAGTGAAGACTGTTTAATTGAATCAGATGTTAGTGTCATCAATCGCTTGATATTTGTTGCAGATTTGGCACACAGAAATCAAATTGTATTACCCTTTTTGTACTGATAAAAGTGATATGATTAGTGTCCCTGCTGATTAGATACTAAATTTCATGGGCAGTAGTTCCATATTATAAATAAATATGACTGTAATTTATATATCTTTGATGAATGCCTCATACGACATAGCTTCAGATAACCTCCCAACATGTCAAGGTGAAATGTTGTTTATCAACTGTTATCAAGGTTATGCCATTATGTATGGAAAATGCTGGTAGTCACACACACACTGTCACGTTATGGTCATATAAACTTCTGTATTACGGCCAAAATAAACCAAACATTCTAGCTTGAAAAGCAAAATGTTTATTTTTTCACATGCATGCCACATCAAAGCAAAGAGACCTTGGGAATCTGTTTTTAAAACCATCACATAATTATTTTTATAGAGCCCTTGGCCCTTGTATATATTTGTTTAGGACTTGGTGATTGGATAGTTGCCAATGTTCCCATATGACGTCCAAAACAAGTTGGCTTAAAATTGACAAAGGTACCAGTATTCTGAATTTTTAATTGATCTTAGGAGATGTGTATTGTTATAGTGGATAATCGCGTTTAAAAAATTCCCAAATTTGCCAACTAATATGTAATGTACCTTTATTGTTCTTGCAGGAATTCCCGACTTTGACCACCTTTTTTGATGGGGAGATCATCAGCAAGAAGTATCCGTTCCTAACCAGGAAGTGGGATGCTGATGAAGAAGTGGACAGAAAACATTGGGTAATTAACTTTTATGTAGTTAATCTTGTATACCCAGTTTGTATAATACTATTATCTGTTGATTGAATGAACCAGTTTACTTGAAGTCAGTGAGTTTGATTTATTCTTAATATTAATTTGTTTTTAGGGCAAGTTCCTGTCCTTCTACCAGTATGCCAAAAACTTCAACTCAGACAACTTTGACTACGATGAGCTGAGGAACACAGACTTTGTATTTATGAGGTGGAAAGTAAGTTTGTTTTCTTGTGCTCTGATAGTTTTTATTTCTTTGTACTGGTTATATTTCTAGCTTCAAGCAGTGTGAAAGAGTTACTATAGTATCTATTCTTTTTGCCTTTGTACAGGAACACTTTCTTGTGCCAGATCATACCATCAAAGACATCAATGGTGCATCGTTTGCTGGTTTTTACTACATCTGCTTCCAGAAGTCCACAGGCACCATAGAGGGGTACTACTACCATCGGAGCTCAGAATGGTACAAGTGAACCTTTTGTTCTTATAGTATTTTGTCCTTTTTCAACACAACTTTTTCTATGACAGAATGTAGCAGCATGCACCCACTTGATTGTTATGTTGCTGACAGAATTATAGATAGGATATTGGGATTTTCTTATACACAACCTTCCTACCTTGCTTACGTTTCGATGTCTATCAGACACCCTCCTCAGAGCTTCTGACTGGAGTTTTGCTTCTCAACGCTATATGTAGCCTATGTACATGCAGGTTGTGCTATACACGTTGTACTGATGCTTTGTATTTCATCCATGCAGGTACCAGTCACTAAGCCTTACCCATGTTGTGGAGCACAGCTTCCCTATCTACGAGTTTAGATGAGGGGATCAACTTGTAATATATGTACACTTGTATTTGAGCCTTGTAATTCTTTTGGCTTCAACAACAAAGTTATAAAAAGACTGTAGATTGTATTCAAATTGCTGTAGAATTAATCTGACCAATATGAAAGCAGGAATCCTGAGATGTGAAAGGTAAAATCTCTTCACATCAGTTGTTACTTTTTTGTACTCCCCTTGATGAAGATGTGATCTATTGTAGGAAAAAGTATTGCTGCAATTGTCTTCAGTGTATATTCAGAAAGATAGCAAAATGAAAGAAAAAAGGTTTATTCAAGGGCAGCTACTTATTATATTAAGGTTAGAGTATGGAGGAAAGTATTCATATGTACATGTATGTTTGTAATTTGTACTTGTTGTTTAACAGCATTTAGAAGCAAAACATCCATTCCTTGAAAATTGTTATTTCCCTTGTGATCAAGAGAGAATATCATGAGCCAAAAAATAAAGATGCAAATAAACACTGCTGTATACCTAAGATCACTTTGTAGAGACGCATGTTATATTCTTTGAAGATTCTCACAGAGTTTTTCTCTATAGCAAAAGCAGATGACTCACATGTACATGGCTGCCTTCAAGGTACATTGTATTATCTTTTCATGGAAAACCATTCTGTTCAGAAGCAAAATACTGGTAATTATAAAGTTAAGAAATAGTGTAACAGACCTGTTGCTGGTACTTACATTATGATTTGATAATAATACTGGACATGACTTTCAAATGACTTTGTGTATTTTAATGCACTTGAAACTGGTGGTTCAGTAAGGGTACAAAAGGTTTTCACAGTAGGAATGCTACACATCATGTAGAGGGCTAGCGTGGTATAGCAAGATTACTTCTGTTCACATACTTATGTTGCAATAAATGCTATAGCACTGTTCTCATGCATCTGTTGTTTTCGCCGACTTTCTTCAGTTATTTTAATTTCAACTTAGATTGATCTGAGAGAACTTGGGCATACACGAACTTGGTGAGGTATTGAAATTTAAAAGAAAATATTCACATGAAATAAATTTTTGGGCATATTGGGGCTTGAACTATAATTAGTGCCATTCATAGTATTTGGAGATTTAGTTAGTAAAATGAAATAATTAACCTGTCAGGTAATAAGCGTTACACCATGTGCTACAAATACTAGTTAAGTGCACCATTCCTATGTAAGTTTCCCTGTTCTTTTGATAAGTCTTTTTATGTATGGCTCATGAAATAAGAACAAAATAATGACAAAGTTTCATTGTATATCTATTATGGAAAGTGCATGGCCTGTGCAGGCATACAAAGAGTATTACAGAATACCTGCAAAAATTGAATGTGGGATCATACTTAAGGTGCCTACACAACATCTGCATCAGATGTTCAGTCAGCTGTCCTGTCTTATCTTTTTGTACCCTCGGGCGAAAACGAAGAGTTCTGCTGAGTTGCTCCTGGACGATTGTGGCTTTATGACCTTTACAAACTTGAACACATCGCCCACGATGCTCTGAAACATCTTACAATGGCTGCCGTCCCACAGTTTACACACAAACACCCCGCCCTCCCGCAACACAATCTTGGAGAACTTGAACGCACTGGTTTGAAGAGCTACAATCTGGTCGTGGTCAAGAGAGGAGAGTCCTGTTGCATTGGGTGCCATGTCACTCAGGACGATATCTGCCTTCCCATTGGGCAAGTGTTTCTGAATGTGTTCCTGTGTTTCCTCTAGAGTGAAGTCACAGTTGGACAGAAGTTTAGCTCCATTGATGGGTGATATGTACTGCAGATCCACCCCGATCACCATGCCTCTGGGAAACCCTTGTAGAACAACATGGCATATATCAGTCTAGGGAATCGTTAGCAGAGACAATTTGTATGACAATTAAACATATTTCCAAACTGGTACAGGAGTACTTACAATTGTATTCAAAGACATTACATATGCCATACTTACTGCATGAGTACAACATATGAATTGTCTTGCCACAACTAAATCAAATCAAATCAAATCATGGGGCTACCACATTCAAATAGAACTGAAGGCATTTCCCAGCTACTTAGATCTACTTCAGGTTTGGAAAGTTAGAAACTTGAGGTAGCATTTGAGTATCTTCCCAATGATGATTATGCATGACTTGTGAAACGGAGAGATATGGCTACTGCGGGTCTATAGATTTGCTTTGAAAATACACAAGGGACTTCAACTGTTTCTGAAGATATCTCAGAAGTCTCCTTTACCTTCAGCAGCATTGACTCTGTTGACAGCTACTTGTGTCCATGACCCTGGGCAGGCTCCACAGTCCACCACCACCAGGCCTGGCTTCAGGAACCTACACACAGGCAATGACAGGTTATGTGTAGTGTGATGATGAGCTCATACTTCCTATATAGGTGTGGGTACCAGTTTGACTTTATTACATTTAAGAGGAGCAGGTCAATACAGTCACATAGTAGTATACTGTAACAGAACTTTATCATACTAACATTTTAAAGGACATGCACATGAGTGCAAGTCTCTACTACATGTAGTATGTTTCAATTGCACATTGGACTGACTGATATAGTTATGTTCAGTGTACCAGCATGTAGAGTTAAACTATGTACTCACCGATCAATTAATATAAAATTGCTTGATGAGTGCATGTATTTTGGTTTCAGGAGTAACTGTACCTCCCCTGTCCTTGGTGCTGAATACCGTAAGTTGTCTTTTTCTTTCAGTCTCTCAATAAAAGCTTGAGTACCTTTTGATTGGCATTCGAGGTATAATTACAATGTAACGTTACTATACATATGTAGCACCTAATCCAATATATTGTGTACAAGAAACTGGTACTTACCAAGGAGTGATAATAAAGAAAAGTTGGACAAAGGTAAACACACCTGAACTTATCGTCCATCTCGATTAACTTGTAGGCACTCCTGCATCTGTAGTTGTCCACCGCCGCCTTCTGTACGTAAGGATCGTTCAGCTGCCGTACTATCCACCGCTGAGAACTCGGGTTCTTCCCTCGGAGTTTCTTGGGAGCTTTCTTGAGACAAGGTCCAGACTTGTGCAGCCACTGTCTTTGTGAAGATGATATGACATCGCGACTCTTCTCAAGTCTTCTCAACAACAGGGATGCAAATCGTATCATGATGCTACAGATGTCTTACAGTTGGCGCAATCATTTCTGAACTGGAGAAATTCTCAAAATTGTCAACATTGAAAGCATATTGACAGACCATGCAAACTGCGGTTGAAAACAACTTGTATGCGAATATAGAACGCTCGTTGTCATCAGATAAATCACATGGATCATTTGGGACCTCCAGAAATGTTGTCACAGTTTCTTCTTGTAATCACAGAAATCACAGATAGTCCTGTATAACCCCCCGAAGTTGGTAAAATCAAAATGATTGTCGCGTGTAGCGTTTCGTGCATGCAGGTTTTGTCGTCTGCTTTTCCCTCTACTTCCGGAATAGTGCACTATTACTCCAAGGGGGTTACGTCGATATCGCTTTAAATAATTTACCGACAGAGAGACATGGATTCCATTTTGTCTAACTTCGTAATTCAAAAACTTTATTTATATTTCTTAGACACAATGCAAGTCGAGCTTTATCTTCTTAGGAGTAAGTTTGTATCCCGAAATAAAATGACACCCCATAAACTTCAATAGACCATTCAAGTTCAGAGGTCAGAAGAAGGACAACATGGCTGCCTCCTGTAGTGTTTTTCGATTCGTCTCGACTTTTCGCCCTCCTGTGGTCTATCGCGCCTTCAGAAGATGTTCAACAAGCAGCAGAGGTACCGTGCAATAGATATTTAGTATGTAGGAGATCTCCACTGTGCAGTATTGTCGTAACGTCTGCTGAATATATGCAAGCAAAGGTTGTGGGGAGGGGGGCACAGTCTTACTGTAACATATCCTATTCTCGTGTCCCTGTGATTTCAGCATCAAAGACGACTACAGAAGAACCAGCTGGAGAAGAACTGAACCAAACAAAACTGTCACGTGACGTCAGAAGGTTGCTGAGGTCCGTACCATTCCCAGGTAAAGCTAGCCTGCTCCTTCAATAATTTGGACAAGAACCAAGCTTAAGAATTTGCATTGGTTTGGCCTTATTGAGAAAGTACAGCTGTGCATGTATTTCGGCAATAATGTACATGTACTAGGGTCATAGCTTTTGCAACCACCGTGATGTAACCTGTACAGCGTATCAAACTTTAGTAAAAATATTCTAGCATATACAAACTTGTTTGAAACCTGCTATTTCACCTATATTTCACAGTCGTGGTGGTAACAACAGCCAAGTACACGACCAACCCCTCTGACAGTGGCTATCTCAGGGGAGTGACCTGTAGCTCGTTCACCAGCGTGTCACTACAGCCTCCCATTGTTTCCTTCTGTATGAACAAGCCAAGGTGAGATCTACTAAGTATAAATCAGTGCCTGGATCTTATATCAAATATATGTATATTTATAATTTTTGTTTCAGAAATGTCAATAGTAATCATTGCAAATTAAGAGTAGATGATAAATTTTGTTAATAACTCATGACTTGGATTCTCAAGGACTTTTTTTTAAATGTTGGAATGTCTTCTTGGCTAACTTGACATGTTTTTTGTGGATATGTACAAATGCAACATACATGTTCCGTAACCCTTGCCAATTATTATAGCCGGATGCACAGTTTACTAGTGGAGACCCAACATTGTGCTGTTCACATACTATCAAAGGACCAGGCAAGTAAATAATTATGCTGGTGTTTCTATTACTTTCTATACTTAAAAGAAGCCTCTACCCAGAGCCCCCTACACCCCAAGCATCCTATAAAATCACATAAGGAGTAGTAACAAAGTTTTTTCTGCATTTAGAGCAATAGTCAAATTTTATACAGATTTTTTAGATAATTCCCCTTATCATGAATATACCTGCATAGCTCATGTGACAAATGTCTCTGTCTATGTATCACCCTGCAGATTCACTACAGTGTTCACTTTGCCACACCAGTGGCAGATGGACAAGACCAGTTCCAGTCAGTCCCTCATACACTTGGACACAAGGTGCGTTGTGCCTAAGACTTGTCATGGTTCCAATATTCATGATATATTTCCATTACATTTGATATTAGTACATTTTTCTTTTCTGGCTCATTAAGTGACCCCAACACATCCTTTCCCTGTGTGCAGGGTGTTCCCCTCATCACAGGTGCAGCAGCTGTGCTCCAGTGTCGAGCACACCAGGTTCATGATATCGGGGATCATCATGTATGGTACGGGGAGGTCAGTCCAGCTGCAAATCTTCACACAAATGCAGATTATGCTCTAAAGGCATTGAAATGGCCATCAGAGTCAAGTATTTCAAGATCTGGGTGTTAAGAAATGATTTTGATATATTTGGCAGCCTATAGCATTTCAATGTACATGTACATTGTACATCACTCCTTTTATACATCTCTATCTTTCATGTCCTGGCATTTTTCCCCAGTGATGGCAAAGAGTCAAGGTAGATACTGTAAGGTCCCAACACTGTGGTAATATGAATATAAATCTACTTAGCATTTTCATGTTTCTTACCATGTTTTCTCTAGGTTTTAGACACCAGTTCAGAGGACACAGTGAAAGAGCCCTTGCTATACTTTGCTAGGTAAAATTCTTTACTGGTAGCTCCTTTCTTATTATTTTTTATAACTTTTACAAATTGTCTCACTTGACATTTCAGAGAAGTATAATTTATGACACTATATTTTACTTCTATTTATTTATCAGGTCCTATAGATCAATTGGTGATGAGGCATTTATGAATGCATTTGAAGATGCTACTCTGCTGTTTGAAGATTGGACACATGAGGTTTGTGACTTCAGTGCTCTGTTCATCCAAAATTGTATCATTTAACCTTTCAGGCAATTGACACACATTTTCTTTATCCTTAGAATAACCATCAGCTTTCCCTTGTTATTAGGCACACCTAAGGATGGCTTGGAACTACATAAGACGGCATGGGAAAGAGAATGCAGTTCCCAAGATACAGTGGGTTGAACTTGATATTTTAAAAATGTTGTTATCTAACCTTTTGTAAGGTTTTTCCAATTTTGAATGTTCACTTAGTTTCTTAGTTGTTGCGATATAATGTTAGTTTTATGTACCTACATTTTGTACTTCTTCTTTGCAGAAGGGGAATTAAGAAATTCAATGAGCAAAACAAAGACAAGGTAGGAGATGATATTCTTCATCTAGATCTGTTTAACATCATGAGTATCATCATGGGTTGTTTTTCATGTAAATAATGTACTTACTTAAGAGCTGATATCAAATCACTGTTTTACTTCCTTAAATTTTTTATGCTGTTTTTCTGTTGTAGGTAAAAAGAGGATACCATGAAACTGTCACCCAGTTCTATATTCATGCAGTATCAGAGGCCATTCAAAAGGTAAAACATAATTGTGATGTACATGTAAACTGTAGAATAGAGCTATACCGAACTAGTAGCCCTACTTTTGCCTGACTGAACCATGCTGTTCTGATTTAAATTGGCAAATACAGGAGTGTGACAGACATGTATGGCAAGGGTTGAATGGAAAGTGATATTACATTCATTCATCTGTGTGCAGTTTCTTATGAATTAAGACCTAGGAAAATAGAGTAGTTAAATGTATATCATGTTACATGTATTATCTTCTGAAAAACAACCCTACCTTTACAGATGGACTGTCCAGAGCTGACCTTTGAAGAGTTCGTGGCTCAAAACCCACATCTCATGGACCCACAGCTCCCTCTATACTACTACTCACCAGACAGACTTAATTCAGAAGATGCCAGAGTTAGGTACATGTACTTAAGTCAAAATAACTTCCCTTCTGTTGTAGTGAAAACTCATACAGAATGTAAATGTGTTTGTTTGTTTGTTTAATTTAAATGCAACAGTGCATAACATGTGTGTATTGTTTGTTCAAGTGGACTAAGTATATGATGCAAGAATAAAATCTTAGTATTTTTAAGGAGGACAAAGAGAAAATTGTTCACCACTGACAACCTCTGTGATTCTCTTCCCCCAGATTTGTACCACCTGACAGACAACAGCTACCATCAACAAGCTAGTATATGCATGATGCTGAATAGAGGACTTGTCACGTAAAGATACTTAACATTTAGCACACTGCAGTAGCAATTTAGCTGCCAATTCTCTATTCATTATGTGGTTAGGCAGCAGGCCAGGGAGATGGTTAAAGTGTAGGTAATGTGTTACAATGTTTTTATACACTGTTGCTTCTCTGTCAGACATTCCCAAAACTCATGTTCTTGCCATTATCCATCAGTGTGAAAAAAAAAATGCAGGAATGTAATGTAAAAGTGGCAAGCAGTAGTTGAGTTGAGCATCTTGTGTAAACTTGTGTATTTTAACTAAATATTTGAATGGCCTGCATGAAGAATACATGTGATTTTAATGGCCTCGACAAAAATGATCACTTGATGACTTGTCTTAGCATTCATTTTTAGTTTTACGTTAATAGCTGTAAGTTGTAGATGTGATTATTTTAAGTGTCACACAGTTTGACACATTGTTCTAAAGTTATTGAAATATTGAAATAATAAGGCACATTTACATTGTCATACATTATATACTAGTATGTATATATTTATATTTATTTATTTTTTTGCATTTATGGAAATGTTGAAAAATAATTTAAACATTATGGTAAAAGTAAATGTAAAGATGTTGCAGAGCAGATACCTTGTTGTCATTCATTCATTTTTTTCACCAACTTATAAATATGTATTGCTATATCTGATTCAATAGTAGGCAGTACATGTGTTTCTAATATTGTCTATGAATGAAATGTACCTCATTGGACATATACAAATATACATACAATAGACTAAGTACAAGGATGTCAAAACAGTAGATATAAAACTCTAATGCAAACAATGTGCTATTCATATAAAGAATTACATGTATCAATTTTTCATAGTCCTCTAAGATTTGACACACGCAATTTGTTTTTAAATATGGCACAACATATCTCTCTAAATTGAATAAGATTGGTTAAGTATAAAAGAAAGCTGTAATTCTAGCTTTACAATCCTTCTACCTTAGAGATGGCCCAACTTCAAAATCTATTCAGACCTGGCATTGGCTGGCAAAATGGAGGTATATGTAGTAACTGACATCATGTTTGAACATGTAACACAAAAGCCTCCTCTATCTGACACCCTGTAGTGATAGGCAGCGGTCTACTAGACTTCTTCTTCCGACAGTCCACTTCCTCGCTGTACTGGTGCAGGTATGACTCTGCAGACGATGTCCGCAACACGCAGTAGATACAGCTGTCCAATACCGTGGCCCCTCTACAAAGCAATCCTATACCATCGCTATAGTAACCAAGACACATTTCCGTCCATTGGTCAGTCACGATATCGTAACAGTCGAAGTTGTGCACCCAGATGGTGTAGATTTTGGTACCGATGGCCACCATCTTGAGGCCGATACTGGGACGGGGGTCGCATAATGATGTCACCTCTCTCCAGTCATCCAAGGCAGGGCTATAGCAGAGCATCTTGGGATTGCGCCCTGATTTGCTCTGCCCTCCGGCAATGTAAATTTCATCCAGACATACCGTACCTGGAACACACAAGTACAAACTTAAAGGATTCATAAATTTGATCTTAAGAAAAATATCCAACATGAATTGCTGTACAAGTATTTTTTTATGTTTTCAAGTTCAAAGCTATGTTCCATACCTGCAAAGTATGTAATGGCCAGAGGAAGTGGAGAGACGACTGACCAACAGTCTGTTCTAGGATCATACATCTCCACTGTCCTGAGACAAGCCGGGTCCAGCCCACCAGTGGCGTACAGTTTACCCTCCACTGCCTGGAGGCTGAACGAGTGTCGTCGCTGGATCAACGAGTCGATCTGTCTCCACTCACCAGTCAGAACATTGTAGCAGAAGGCTCGACACTGGGCCCCAAACCAGGGGTTGTTCCCTCCAACTACAAACAGATAGTTATCCATGACAGTTATACCAGCATTGTGTACTCTGGTTTCACTTGGCAGCTCACATAACACTCCCATTTTCCCCGAGCTCTCGTCAAGGTATTCAACAGTTCGCAAGATTTCATCCCTAACAAGAATGGCTACTCTGCTGAGTCCTTTGTTACGGCTTTCTTTGATATATTCTATCTGTTCAGGTGTAAGTCTATCACATACTCCTGCTTGCATTAGTTCTAAGTAGTTGTCAGTCATGAACTGTATTGTGGCATCGTACAGACTTGCTGGCCCATATGTGCTTGAAGCTGCCAACACATCAATACAGGTGTGGATTGTCAGGCTACTTTTGATGAAATCAGTGATGAGAGATATCTGCAGAAAGCTTGCAGCTGAAATGACTTCTTGGATCACATCACCAGAAACGTCCATGTCCGCAGTGTACAGGAAAGTCAGAAGAGTCTGGAAAGTAGCAGCGGAAATTCCCTGGAGTGTGATGGTGTCCTGTGTGGTTTCTCTCATCCCGGAGGCAAACATAGCCTGGAAGTAGTCACACTTTTCCGCTAGTATGGACTTGTGAACAGGGAAGACTTGGTCCTCTACTTGTAGTGACAGGTCACTTGGGCCCAGGTCGGGTCTGAGATGGCAGATGTCCTCTGGTGTCTCTTTGGTGTTCTTCAGTTTAGACTTTTCATCACTTCTTTCTTTTCTTCTCGAAGGTCCCATTGATCTGTCTGCCATTCCTGAAAAAACAAAACATCAAACCGTAAGTACACAGAACAAGAGTATATGTGTCCTTGCTTGAACCAAAATAAAACGTTATTTCCTTGAGACATTCATCAAGGAGATTTAGAAAGGAACCTCCTTGCATTCATACTCAGTGGTTTACATGTAAGTATTGTAACGTTAACTGTGTTACCCCCCTCCCCCAATGTTCCACCAAATCAGTCTCTGCAAGTGTAAGTAAAATGCTAACAATGGTCCTCCAGGCCTCCTTTTCATCGTTAACGTTCTGATATAGTATCGGTAACGCTATCAACAATGTGTCTTACCTTACAAAGCTGTAAAACTGGCCAAAACAACCACAACACGGTCAACCTCCCAATCTGTCGTCTGCAACCCGGAAGTGAATCGCGTGTGGCATTATGGGACAAAAATACACGTCTGCACATTTCCATCCCGTGGTGCAGTGCGCGGATGAAACATGGCGGCCTCCATGAGTGTGCAGATTTTGTGTCCAAACGGAAGACGTCAAACCGTGAAAATATCGTCCAACACCAAACTTCTGCAGGTGGGTTTCATGCCTGAATACTTGAGTCTTGACCTAACGAGCTGTAGCAAATTCTGAGTTCGTGGGAAGTTTCAGAGACTACAAATGTTCCAACAACGTCTCTATATATATGATAGAAGACGCAACGTTACTTCTTGCATGTTCATGTTTGTTTACATGCATTGGGAACGCCTTCATCTTTAATACGAGAAACATGCGTATATGGATGATAGAAGATCACGTTTGGAATTTTTGGTCCAGAAAAGGTCGTCAAAACGTGTCATGCGTGATGTGAACATGCACTCATAATATTTCGTCCTTATTATAGGTACTGGAGGAAGTATGTCAGAAACAAGGTTTCTCCGCCCAAGAGTACGATCTTAAGTATGTGTTACGTTATTGTTTATCATGCTATTTTTTTTTAGAAACTCGAAACAGACTTTCACACAGCTACATGTATGACATGTAACTATGATAACTAATTTTGACCATGCACATGCATGACAAAACAATATGTTGGAATGAGACAATCTAAGTTAACTTGAAATGTCAAGATTTTCAGAAGTTTTTTCACTTCATGTATAATGAATGCTAAACGAAGATTACCTTAAATCTACTTGTAGCACCAACAGTTCTTCAGTTTCTGAACATATAGACATTTTCATTCTGACATGCTAGTTGTCCTTGGGAAGTCAGATGTGTTTCCTGTAGTGAGAGTGTCTTTGTTGTCATACAGGCATCAGAGGACTATCCTTGATTTGTCCGTACCAGTGCGCTATGCCAACTTAACCAACAATGCCAAGCTGGAGATGGTCAAGTCCACTAAGGCACGGGCAGAGGTAGATGTGACTATCGGTCTTCAGGTAAATTTAAAATCCTCAGCAAAGAGCTAATCTTTGGTTTTCCATCCTTTTCCAAAAGACTTGAACCGGCCCATCCAAATAACTTCATTTGTACATCCATTCACTGTTTCCTATCCATTCATAACTATTACACATCAGACTCTGTGAAATGATATGTTCCTTGCCACTTTTACTTTAATAACATCAGTTGGAGTCAGGAGAGAGATTGAAGCACTCCTTCCCCCCAGCCACCAAACTGTGGGACATACTAAGGCACTTTGAAGCCCAGCCTGGCAGGTATGTATGAAGTCACCTAAACTAATAAACTATTAAGAACGATATAGCCATATTGATGCATAAAATATTAATGATTATCTTTCTTTTTTTAGATGTTGAGAAATCTGTGTGAAGTTTTTTGTTCTCATGTTTCAGCCCCCATGCTGGTAAGCTGACATCAGCCAGTGCCACAAATGTCCATCCTGTCTGTGTCTACATGCGAGAAGAGGTAGGGCTGTTATCTCTGCTCTTCAGAATATGATTGCTACACAGTAGCATCAATTGTTTTGATAATGATATTGCATAGAATATGTAGCTTTTAACACACAGCATTTTAACATGTTTTTAGTAAGATGGTGCCTTTCTTCAGTGAACTAAACATTAAATTGAATGTAGACCATAGATGATTGAAAATACTATGAATAGGTACACTATGTCACATACAATCATAATACATTTGTTCATCATACCGGTATTTGTTGTCTTACAATTTCAGATAATTGGTGAAAGTGCCCTGCAGTCAACAAGCCTGCGGACTCTGGGGCTAACTAGTGGCAGTGCCATCCTGAGGTTGGTTTAAAATCATCTTTTTAACGTTTTAACCGCCACATTTACAGGATGGCAGATCTGACGTATTTTACACAGATCAAAATTAAACCATGTGACACAAGATGACATAAATTTTTGATAGTTATGTTCTGTACTTGTCTGGTCTTCCTGTTGTCAGGTTGGTCCATAGGAAGGTGGAGGACCCGTCCCTGCTCCACACCAGCAGTGCTCCTGTGGCCAAACCCATGAGAGTCACGGGCAGCAAATCAGAACCTACCAGGCAGTCTGAACCTAGTACATCTACACACAGTATGTTACTCTCTACGTACTACATTGTTGTGTGTTAGCTAGGGCTTTTGCAAAAGGTACATACCGGGTAACTCTGGTTTGAAAGCAGGCCGGTTACCACTAAGCATCAAAACCGCACCATTGCATTTGGAGTATGTCATTGTGTTTCTTTCTTTCTTTCTGTCATTGGGTTTTGTTTGTCTGGAATAACCGGTAAACTGCCTTTTGGTATAACACTTCAGTTGTGTACAAGCTGCGTAATTTGTGAGCAACTGAAATATAAGGTTTGAACCACTAACACAGGGAAGGACCACTACTCATTTTGATAAGTGTGGTGTGTTCTTGAGCCTCTCAAACATAGGACAATCTTGTTCAACTATGCACTGTACCTATTTTGTGACCATATTACCTGTGTTAAGTACGAAGCTCAAGACATCAAATTTATAATCTCTTCAGACCCTCCCAGGACCTCTAAATCCAGTGGTTCCCAGGCTATGGAGGTAGAAGAGACCAGGCCTGCCCAGAGTGTAGAGTCCATGGACACCAGCCAGGCTCCTACTGAGCAGGAGATAGCAGCCATGAGTCAGGAGGAGATCCTACAGAGACTCAGTCCTCAGGAGAGGCAGGTCAGATACAAGTAACACTGACGACTTTATACTTAAAAAATATTTTTTGTTACTTCTAAACGGTGTTCCATAATAGTGAACATGTGCACAATGCAGTGGTCAAAGTGTTTAATTGAAATTTCTAAACTTTCCTAAACTTTAATCATAGTCCCATTAGTTGTACTAGTACTTTAAAATAAGCTTACACAGCTCTGTCCTTGGTGCTGAATAGCACATTTTCTGGCAGTTTTGATGAGGAGTACTCTCTTTGGTGCTGAATGGTATTCATGTAGAATTCTCTTTCTTGTAATCATTGTGCTGATCCCTGTCCTCTTTTTTCTTCAAGTATGATACTTATACTGTTATTCTATATGCATGCCCAGGTTGTGGCCACAATGAGCAGCATGATTCAGCAGGCATATGTACAACAGCAGGCACCTACACAGGCACCTGCTGCACAACAACAGGCAGCCCAGGGGCCTTCCAAGCCCAAGAAGTCCAGGTCTGCCCCTCGTCAGCAACAACCACCAACTCAACAACCTTCCTTTGCTAACTTCAAGGTTTGTAGTGTTTGGTTTTGATCAAATTTGTAAGTGTGTATTACAAGGTGTACTTGTCCATATGTGTCAATACAGTATGAGTAGAGTGGAATCAGCAGGCCAACATCTTTTGCACTACAATTATTTCTCAGTGACTCAATTAATGAGCTAAATTTAAGTTAATTTCTATGTGTTATTTGTTGATACACATGTTAAGTAAATGTTTGTCTATGGTATGTACAGAATTCTGGCTTTCCGTTGTTGAAACAAAGTATGACATGCTCTCTGTGTTCAGTTTCCAGAGGCATCGAGAGGCCAGGATGTGTATGTGAATGAGCTGAGTGAAGTGGACAGGAGGAATGTTGAAGTAAGTAAAGAAAAATACCAACAAGTATCTTCTGTAATGCAATAGCAAACTTCAAACCACAATCACACCCATTAATTACATATTGTTCTAATGTTTATTGACTATAGTATTCTTAATGTCTGATCTGGAAATTGTGTTGTTGTACCCAAGTACCAATGGATTTGATTGGTCCCATATGTCTAATACTGTAAAAGTAAGCAGGTGTTTACTCCTGCACTTTGTGTTGTTGCTTCAGCCTTGTGAGAGGGAACCTGTAGTATTCAGTCTGGATATGCTGGAAGGAGCACAACAGTCAGGTATGAGCAGATATATTTTATTTACATCATACAGGAGATGCTGATAGCTCTATGTTACAGCTATGCAGGTACAGATACAGATGTATTTGAAGCCATGTGGAAATGTGCTATAGATCAGTTCAGTTCTGTACAAGGGAAAGCCATTGTTACATATACAATGTATAGAGTCTTACATGGTAGTGTTTTTCATGGTAGTGTTTTTACATTTCTGGAAGTGACTATAGGAGCTCAAGTATTAATATTGGTCCTGCACTGCACTCTAAGTTTTATATGATATTTTGACAGAAGACCACACATTAGTTCCTGTAGTCACCAGTGCTAAGAAATGTCAAAACTGTGTTCCCTTCTCACAGAGGACCCCACAGATGACTTCTTTGAAGTGACAGTAAATGATGTGAGGCTTATGATGGCAGACCTGACCAAAGCAAGGTAAGCCAGTAACATATCTGTAAATGAAATGAATACATAGAATGTATAACAGTTGTGTTGTGTGGGGAGACAGCCTGCAAAGGTGATTTGTATCGATTGTTTTGTTTCCCTCTTCCTTGTGTTCAGTGGTTAGTGTGAATAATAATGCTGCTGACTGTTTGTTCCCCCTGCAGACGGGAGATGGAGGAGGAGAGTATGATGACTGGAGCGATGCGGGCCCAGCGGGAGGTGGAGATGATCCAGAAGTACCCCAAGACTGTCCTCAGGGTCCAGTTTCCTGACAGGACTGTCCTGCAGGGCCTCTTCAGGCCCATGGAAACAGGTACAATCAGCATGTCAGCATAACGTACTAGTACTGTGCCTACGCTAAACCTGTGAGGTATTGCACATAACACTACTTGTTCAATGTTGTGTCGGAAAAGATATTGTCTGCAACAGACAGATTTCTGATGCAATGCTGACCAGACATCCAATGAAAACCTTGAAAAATGCAGGTTTCACGCAGGTACAGTACATTCTGCTGACATCCAGGTACATCTACAGTCAACATACTGGACAAAAAGAGTCACATTGATCTTTCTCAACAAGTGTTTGTCAAACAATGTGCTATTGAGGAGAATGAAAATTTCATTGTCTGTTGAAAGACACATCACTGAATATTTCATTGGATAACGGTTTTCATTCCAGTGTCTGCTCTGACTGAGTTTGTGAGGTCCAACCTAGCTGATCCTGGAACCCCTTTCTATCTATGTAAGTCTTTTGTACCATTATGATGTACAATGAATTTGTATGTCTTTACTGTAACTTATCACAATGCACATTTTGCTTTAGACTGCCTGTATTGCTTTAGACTTGTTTGGGTCCTCATTTTACATTTATCTGGAATTTTCGTGACCCTTTTCAGACACTACCCCACCTAGATGTGTCCTGGATAAACCATCAATGACTTTATACCAGGTAAGTTACAAATATAGGTATGTAAACAAGTGCAATACTTAGCCTGGGTGCCAGACTGTTCTCAGAGCCGGTACGTATTTGGCCCTCGAGCTGAGATGTACTGTATACTGGCCCTAGCAACAGTCTGGCACCCAGGCTTTGAAATTCTGAGAACGAAGCTACTCTATAGCTGGAACTAAAGGTGCATAATTTACAAAATACATAAAATTTGCATCTTACAAAATAGGACTTTAAAAAAAAGTCATTGCAAAGCTTTAGACAAATATTTCAAACACATTACTTACTTTGTTTCTCTGATTCTGTTTCTAGGCCAAGCTTTTTCCAGCAGCAGTGGTCCACTTTGGTTCAGAGGTCCATAGGGGTGAGTTTGGTAACCCTTTGTCAACATTCTGTATCTGTATCAGTATAGCCGTAACACACCAGCTTCACAGGCACGCGGCGCGGCAGCAGCTGGCTACATCACACATTCAAAACAGAACTTTGTTGCATGGATATAGATATGCCTGTAACACTTTTGATGTATTCTTGTGCTCCGAAAGGGTATGTAGGTCTAAAGTAGAATCTATATTCTACTGTTCTACATGCCATACATAGATAGTTGTCAAAATCTTAAGTGATTTGTGTTGGAAATAGTTCCTCAAGACAGAAGGTAGAACATGTATAAATAGGAATATTTCACACTTTCTTGTTTTCTAGTTTGGGAAAAAAAGGGAAATATTTTCTCCACCAGTTTTTGATGTGTAACATGTCCTATTTTTTTGCATACCTGACAGAAAGTTACCTGAAACCAGAGGTGCTCAGTACAGCATCAGCCCCACTGGATGCTGACAGAGTTGCTGCAAGGTAAGGCCATTAAAACATGTCTAACCTTCGTCCTGCTGCCTAACCCCAGAACAGATAAAGAATGGGTAGCCAAACAACTACTAGCGTGAGCGTGAGCTTAAGTTAAGGCCTTAAGTTTGGTTTTTTAAGTCAGAAAGTCTCTCGTCCTAGGTCTAAATCTGCCTGATTTTGTTCTTTCTGTCCCAGGGAGACAGTACAGCCCTCCTCAGATGGAGCGCGGGGAGTGTCAGAACCAGCCGCCCCTCCCAGACCCAGACAACAGGTGTTCCCTGCACCTGAGGGCGGGGCACGGGCGGGGCAGGCCAGGGGACAGCAGGATGGGAAAAAGGTTCCCAAATGGTTCAAAATGGGTGAGGAAAAGTTTGTTTTTTTTCTATCGTTAGGATAATACGGTTGTTTGCCTCCTAAGGCCACACCATTTTGATTTGTTGGTTTCTCGCATTTTTTTCAGCAAACATGATTCTTTTTATCGTTTTCTCATCCAAGAGCTTTTTTACTGAATAGTTTTCTTTTTTTTTCTCTTCAGGGAAATAGAAGAAACGAAGAGCATCCAACAGCATTTTTCATCTGCAATTTATTCAATTGTTGTATTTACAAAAAACAATCTTACTATATCATACTATATAGTTCAAAAAGTTTACACAATGAAAATTTCTTGTATGTAATATGGCTGGTTATCTTCATTTGTACATTTCATTTTGTTCATTCTCAGAAGTTGGTGTTAAGTTAAACCTACCTAGTGGGAAAACTTCAACTAGTCATCTGTAACATTTGACTCTTTTAAAGAGACACACCAAAAAAATGTAGTTATTCTTCAGAATTGTAAAGGTCTAGATTTAAGCATAGTAAAGGGCTATGTTGATCTTCAAGGACATAACAAGGCAATACGATATTTAGCTTGCTGTAAATGGTGGCAGAAACTATATACATTGTGGAATAAAAGATGCAGAAACATCAAATGTTTTGTGTAATATTTTGTAGTTGTTTCCAAACACCAGGTACTAAAATCTCTGGATAAATGCTGCTACAATAAACTTAGACCCCTAGATGAGACAACATTTGCTGTTTTATTATTAATAGGAATTCAACTTTAATTTCACAGATGCTAAAAAGATAAAATGAGTGCCATCATCTCAAAATTAAAAAAATTCCAATGCTTAAACAAAAGCACTATCAAGTGTTTACTGCAGAGAGATCCTATCACACTTCACAGCCTAGTCTGATATCTCGCAAAGTTGAGCTGACGACGGAGCCTGTCAGCCTCCAGCTGGCGGAAGTACGCGTCGTCCTCGTCACGAGTCAGCTGCTCCTGCAGGCCCTTAATCTCCTCTTCCATCTTCTGTCGGAGTTCACGTCTCATCTTCTCCAGAACCTGCCGTGTGACAAACAGGGAGACACTTCCATGACTGAACAGAAACTAAAAATTTCAGACTTCCAGGATGTATGCATACAGTCCTCAGCTACCTGAATTCCCCCATCTCAACCACTAATTCCTACTGGTTTCCCGGCCAGATTCTAAGACCTTTACGTTCACCCCACTTCCTGAGTCTGACCTTTTGGCTTCCAGTCCTTCAGTTGTCAAACTTGCCCCCACTCATGTATATGCTGTCAACCTACTGTGTCCAGACAAACAGATCACACAAAACACAACAGCTGCTTTTTTGTGAATGAAAGCTTCAAACATTTACAGTAAGATGCAGGTATTTTTGTGTCATGACAGTACTACAGAGGAACATAGATTTTGTTTCTCAAGCCCCAACATGAAATCTCCTTTATCAGTGTACACATTCATTAGAGTAACTGTTGGCAGAGTGTTATGATTTTACAAAAATACCATCAACAGATTACAAAAGCTAAAGTAACAGTAGTTAGGTTACACATCTTTGGAGGCAGTGTACATGTACATGAATGGTATGTAAGTATAAACATTAGCCTACCTTTGCCTGGGCTTTGTCACGTATCTGCAGCTCATATCTCTCCCTGGTCAGAGTCTCAGCAAGCATGCTGAACTGGTCACGGTAGCTGGGGACATGGTCAAGGAATTTCTACTTCTTCCTTCAGTATGCATACAAAACAATTTTTACAATGAATGAGCAAAGCTCTTTATTCATAACCACTTGTTTGACAAGCCGATATTTAGATAACTGTCTGTCATCTTTATCAGGGCTATTAACTGGTTCAGTGTGTACTGAAGCTACAAGTGGCAAAAAGCATACAATGGAAAAACTTCCACCACAAAGGATACTAGTTCTCCATGGACTCCAGTTCATCCTGCTGTCTCTGAGCCACGTGGTCCCTCTTCTCCTTAGCGTATTGTCTCAGGTCTCGTATCCGTGTCTTCTGGATCCCCAGGCCTTCCTCAAAAAGCTTCTTAAAGATCTGTGTGAAATATGTTGTACCATACCAGTAAGACAATGTACATGTACAGTGTACTAAGTACAGATAAAAATCATTTCACAGGGTTACATATTCACATTCCAATGCTCAAATTGATAACCAATTTGCATTAAAAATCTGGAAAATGGGTAATTATCCACACTACTTGTACATCAAAGTCACTCCAAGCCAAGACATGTATTTTTAACCTTTTCCCTGCTGCTTAACCCTGTAAACAATAGAGAATTGGTAGCCAAATGGCTACTTCAGCATGACAAACTCCTGTTAAAACAATAATATTTTTATTGAGAGGAATTTGTGAGGAAACCCATTCCTGACCTGTTCCTCTCTTGTCTTCCTCTTCAGCATCTTGGCCCTCATCCTGACCTGGTACTCATCGTAGTACCTCCTGGCCCTGGCTGACTGCTGTCTCTTCTGCTGGACAGCACGCTGTACCTGGCGCTGCTGCTTACTCCTCTCACGCAGATCTTTCTAACATGGCAACACAAATCTTCATAGTTTCAAACAATCATAAACATATCAATAGCATCTAAAACTATAATAATTTGCCTTCACATACTGTACAAATAGTTGCTGTGAATTTTTCAACAGCAATTGGCAGTGAAAAAGAAAATTCACAGTGAAATATTTCTATGTTTATTAAGAATATCCATATTATGATAGCCTTACCATCCTTTGCTGGTGCTGTCTTTCCTTGTCCAGAATTTTCAGCATGGTCTCTTGTCTCTTCTTGGCATCCTCAAACTACAGAAAGAAAATCAACTATTTAGTAGATTTCATAACCTTTCTGTCCAATTTGCAAATACATTTACTAGTACGTACACAGATGTAACTCTCTTATCATACATGTACTTTATAAAACCAACTTGTCAAAAACACGTTTGAGGAAATCAGCTGACTGCAGAGTAAAAGAATGTCTCCTGCCTGTTTCTGAGTCTTGGTTCTCTTGCTGACAGGTTCAGACATCTTGGTGATCTGTTCTATCTGTTTCATCTGTCTCCTCCACATGTTAGCCATGGTGTGTGGGGAGACGTGTAGGAATGGGAACTCCTCCATGAGTACAGGCAGCAGGTCGTTGTCTTTCACCGTCACTGCAATATGCAAACACACTTTGTTAACACTTGGTAAATGTAATCATTATGGTTGTTCTGAAGCCTTTTTTGAGGTAGGAGCAATGAATTGTTAATGCACTGTACCTGAAAACACTGTCCCTGGTACTGAAAACACCAACCCTGTCTAAGGTACTAAAAAAACACTATCCCTGGTACTGAAAATGCTGTCCCTGCTACTGAAAACACTATCCCTGGTACTGAAAACGCTATCCCTGTCCCTGGTACTGAAAACACCAACCCCATCCCAGGTACTGAAAACACTGTCCATGGTACTGAAAACAACATCCCTGTCCCTGTTACTGAAATGCTGTCCCTGGTCCATGTACTACAGCTCTTAAGTGCAAATGACTGACAGCTACAGCAATGCAGCAAACATGAAAGGATGTTAAAGAATGAATGCACCAGGCTAGGGGGTCACATCGAACTGTGATGTGAAGAGTCTTGAAATATGGTACTAACTATTAGTAATATGAACAACAGAGCGAGACTTACTGGTGTTATCTACCCTGCCTGGGGTTGTAGGGCTGGCTGACCGACTTCTCTTCCTCCTTCTCTCATTCCTGTCATCCGCTAGTCGAGAAGAACCTCCACTGACAGGCACTGTAATGATAGGAACAACTATCAGACAGAAATTCATACTGATAACTCTAAAACTGGATGGTAAGTTATCTCCAACTTTCAAGAGCACTTAAGGAAAGCCAAAGTGTTTTATACCTCTGTATTTGGTTCCAGGCCTGTATTTTGTCTGCTTTGGAGACTGCAGGGTAGCTTTCCTGTAGATTTTATCCTGAGAGCAAGAGCACAAAGTTAGTATCAACAAACTACTTTAAAGTTCAAGTGTTTGAAACAGCATTATTTCCTATGAAGCCAACAGTAGACTAATTTCAGTCAATGAATGTTTCCGAAAAAACATTTCATGATGAGAAGAAAAGTTATATATTTGTGAGAGGCACCTTTTGATTGGATTTCCTCCTGATTTCTGCCTGTTTTCGTAGCTCACTTGTTGCAATGTTCTCAAACTCATCTCTGTAGATGGAGTCCAGAATCTGAAAAGTGTACAAAAAAGATGTCAAATCCACTGTACTGGGGTTTACTTGTGATACTGATATACAACATTAAGTATTGTAAATATAATGTTAAAACTTAGGCTTCATTTCCAAGCCACAATGCTGTGGTTTTATGTTTGTGGCTTCATCACACAATCAATATGTGCTCTGCGTTCCATTATTATGATTGTTTCTACCGCAAAACCAAGTGGGTCAGTTAGTCATCATGCTTGGTGATTAAATGTTGTCTTCACCATTGATATCTCTGATTTAACTTGGATGTTGTTAGAGTAACCTGAATTTAGTACAGTGCCTAGAAGTGTCCTCTGGCCCAGCACTGAGCAAATTTGTTACAGTAACCTTAGTTTTAGTGTGCTGTCCCCTGCTCTCCTCCCTCAGCCCCCTGCGGATGGGACCCAGCCTCCCCGTGGCGTCCCCGTCCAGAGCATCATCAATGTCCTGGAACCTCACCCTCCTACGGGCCGGCGACGAAACCGGAGAGGGAGATCTGAAAATAAAAACAGGATTTCTTACTCTTAGATTTTTTCCTGGGGGAAAAGCAAAATACATTATTGTTGCAGCTTGAATTTGTCTAACAGCACACTTGAAACATCATGTCCAAACTAAACTTATAATAATTATGTAAAATGTACCTTCTCCTTGGTGGGCTTTTCCGTTGTTCAGCCCGTAGACCCCGCAGGGGGTCCCTCTGTGCCCGTAACATGTCCGTCCTCCTGTACGCCCCCTCCACACCGCTGCTGGTGTCTGTATCCTGACTGGTCTCCTCTGTCTCATAGTCTACAGCACTGTCACTGTGCTGGGACAACTCCTCATCCTCTCTCACCATCAGACGCCGAACCTCCTCACTACCAGGGACAATATGGAGGAAAACATACATGTAACTGTAATTCTTCAATAAAATCATAGAAACATTAGTCTACTTCAGAGGAATGTTCAATTCTTGAACATTGGAAAATGTAGAGAGGTTTTAAGTTGCAAAGAAATAATTTATTGTTTAGAATGGTGCCATTAAATACATCAGTGTAAAAGTCTCAACAGTACACTTGTACACTTTTTCGATACAAGACTTGATGCATACTATGAATGTAGGAAGCCAGAAAAATTCAAAGTGCCATCTTGCTCCATAAATTCAGTTTGATACAATCATGTCAAGTCAAGCACAGTAACAGTCAACTCACTCACTCACTCACTCAATTCCATATCAATTAAGAGCAAGGTTCAACCTGATATTACCGTGATCTCTCTAGGAACTCTTCCAGTTGCCTCAGCCTCCTCTGGTGGTCCAGCACCTCTTCATCCTCCCCCATCCTTCTGTCCTCCTCTTCCTCATCACTCCTTCTGTCCATCCCAGCTATCTTCCTGGTGGGAGTCCTACCTGTATCACCCATGAAATGCACTCTCTTTGGAGCTGTCTCTTCATCTCTTCCAGCATCCCTGGGGGGTCTGATAGGTTGGGTCTGAAGTCTCTGTCCTGGAAATCTATCTTCTTCCAGAGGAGGTTGAGCAACACCCTGAGACACACGAAGATAAGGATCTACAGGCTGTGGTTCGTCAGTTGGTATTGTTGCAGCTGATGTAACTGGTGCCTCCACTGCATCAGAATAAGTGGGAACTCTCCTGCTGGGTAGAGTAGTGTGGATATCACTGACATCTCTGTGGGCTGCAGTAGGAGTTCTTGTGACAGAGATGGGGATGGCTATAGAGGGGGGAACTGTGGAGATCCTCCTCAGGTCTGATGTGTCGTCTGGCCTTGTTGTTACAGCAGGGAGGATTGGTGTGGGAATGGTAGAAGGTGTAACACTTGTGGTTGCCAGTGGAGGAACATAGGCAGATGTGACTGGTACTGCACTGGGAACTGTGGCTGGTTGAGTTGCTGCTGGTTTACTGTACGTGTCATCAAGTCCTGACAAGGGTAAAATTTCAACAGTTAAAGGGAAAACCAAATGGGTTCATCTTCTCTTTCAACAGAACAAAATACAATCTATCTTTTATGCAATTTAGAGCATCAATAAAGGTTAGACATCCAGGTAATGGGATACACAAGGAAACTGTACAGTTACTCAACAGACTGGATACATGTATATATAATTTACAGATACAATAATTCATGTACTACTGACTTGTTGAGGTAGGTTTGACTGGTGAACCTTTAGTAGGTGGACTGTGCCTGTGTACATATCTGCTGTCTCCCAGCTCTATCAGGTCATCTGTGGACCCCTCCTCCAGACTGTCCTGTGCCGGGGCTGCAGACACTGTGGCAGGGGGGACAGGTCTCTCTGTCCTGGAGAAGGGGAGAATCAGCAGGGCTGAGTATCTCAAACTTATCAAGTACTGGTACCAGGGCCTGAGATACTGGATGCATACCATCCACTTTTGTACACCTCCTAGTAAATTACTTGATACTTTTATGTTATGCACCCAAAATACTATCAGTTGTGCACCTAATTTTTTTAGGTGAGTACACCTATTCACTGTATACAGTTACAGCAGTTTACACGTACATGACATGTATGTTGTAGCTTGTGCACTTAACGTGCAAACATTTTACAAGCACACTAGTACAGAGCCCCAATGGTTACATGTAGAATCATGAAATATTTCTTATCCTGGAAGGATTTGAATATTACTTGTCCAGCAAATGACTCATCATCATACTACAATGTATCAATGATGGGATAGTAAGAAATAGTTTGAACAACTAAAATGTACCTATGAAAAGTGCCCAACTCTTCATCCAGTACATCTGTGATGATGGACTGGCCCTGTCTGGAGAAGGCATACGGGTCCTGGGGTGCACCCTCAAGCTCATCTAGGGGAGACAGGGAAATACAATATGGGAAATTACAATGTATAATTATTGTCTGTCGAGGTGACAATCTAGGACAACTACAGAGGGCAATAAAGATGAATAACCTATAGTTCTCAACAAGTGTACTACACATGACTACAGGTTGTAGCATTTTTTGTTAACAGGTGGCATCCAATGGCTTACTGGTTACTATTACTAGGTTAGCAGACACAAGATTGAGAGGTCATGGGTTCGATACCTGGCATTTTGGGCAAAACCGTATGCCTTTGGGGGACACTTCACATGACTTTCCTCACTCCACCCAGGTGTAAGATGGGTACCTGACTTCCGTTGGAGAGGTGGTGCATGAAAGGTGTGAGATGGGCTCCAACATCACATACCAAACCTTAGACTATGTACCTGTACACAAGAAAAAACAGCACCATTCTCCTACCTTCTTGTTCAGATTCACTTTCGATCTCCTCTGCCAGGTACTCGAACAGACCTTCAAATATCTCCAGCAGGTTCCTGATGCTCTCCGTGTCGCCTGAGACCACGCCCTCCCCCGTGATGTGGGACAGGTTCACGTGGAGGTAGTCCAGGGCCAGGGAGTCAATCACACTCTGGACGTTGTGGATGTGGTCTTCCTTAGTCAGAGGGTCCACTATACAGTCTTAACACAAGAATTGCCAACATGAAGGACTCATATAAAGTTCATGCTTAATGTAACAGTACTGCATGTGTAGATTTAGTAACTTGAGTGCATGTTTACTTTTGGCTTCCTAAAATCTATGGTAACTTTGAAGAAAACGTAAATTACTGAACTGGTCTGCAGCATATTAGATTGGAAGGTAAAAATTATCTGCAAAAAAAGATTTACTTTTACAGAACATATACTTGTGACCTTAACTTACCCGGTGGTTTGTCTCCAAGTATCCCTTCATACAGACTGACCAGCAGATGACCATCACAGTCGGTCAGCTGTCTGACCCTCAGCAGGACATGTACCTTCTTCAACAGGCTGTTGGCAAGTTCTATCCATTCTGTGTGCAAATAAATATATCGCTGTCAGAAATGTTCGTCTTCAACATGTCCAGTGTCGGATATAAATGATAAATGGGTAATCTTCGCAATAGACTGTTTCAATTATCAATTTATTACAAAATGTCCCATTGGATCTTTTGCTTTAAAGCTCACTAATAGTTGTAGAGATAAACGTTTTAAGATCATCTCATTTAAATGTCAACATGGACAACTATTAAATAATTTTTTATATAAAATTTTCACATGTTCATCAGATTCTACAATAACAGCACTCGAACATCTAGAGAATGAAAGTACCATTTAGCTCCATATATACACACCTTCATCTGCACCAGAGGCCACCGAACTTGATGAGTCAGAATCCATGGCAACCTTAAGAGAAAAACAACAATCAGGCCATGATCAGAAACGGGAAAATTAGAATCGCATTATTGCATTATACATGGCGATGTGATACTGAACATAGTTCCTGCAGTCGACGTTTTATTACAAGGTACAGGTGAAATTTCTAGTAATACTTTCAAATTGAGCCCAATAATACTGTTGATAAAGAAGGGTCCCCCTTAGCTACCCGCAGAAAGTCACAACATTGTTACGAATGCCTAGCCTGGGTCATACTTCTTCTTTTCTAGTAGTTTGATGGACGACTTTTGCAGCGAGAGTGTGTCAGTGGGCATTTTGAACCCTATAAAGAGATCATTACTTTTGTTTACATTTGGCCTATTGAGTATTCTAACTGACCTGTCTAGTCAAGGCTGCACAATGGAATCTGCAAACATATACATGTATAATTTTATTCAGAAGGCATCAGTGTTCAGAAAATATATAGAAAGGGATGTACATGTATGTTGATGTATTTTCAAATCAACCATACACTGTCTTGGGACAGGTAAAACAATTGCCAGAGGCAGTATTAATGCATTGCTGTAGACATTTACATCCAAAACTTGCAATTGACAAAGGGCCAATTGTGTGTGTAGCGCAGAGGTGACCCATGGGGCATGCCAGGTCTTACCAAAATACCTCAGAAGGCACAAACCTTTGGGCAATTTTTCATGTCCAATTAAAATATATGACAGAAGCTGTTTGGTAACATTTTGGGGGGCGTATTTTTCAAGAGTGTTCTTCACCTGACAACACCGTGAGCTTGTCCTCTCTCCTTCTATATAAAGGTAGGACATTTCTCTTTAAGAATAATTTCTAATAGTAACTGCAAGTAGTGATGAATGTTGCTGAGTATATACAGAGATACATTCAGAGGAGGTAAGGCCTGTTGCTGCAAAGATGCAGGTACTGGTATATGCCTGGCATTCGCAAGACTTGTCATGGGGGTGAGCAGTATTCTAGTCTGCCTGAATTTTTTTCTGTCATCTCAATTTTTTCATGTCAAGTGCCAATGAAAAGCAATCCCTTTCCCAATGACGGGAAGACGTCTGACACTGGCTAGAACACTGGGGCAGTCACAATTCTTTCTCTAAAGACGTCTTTCTCCAGACATCCAATTGTCTCCCATATATCCAAACAAGTAGAGGGGATTAAAGACTGCAGGATGTTGTCTGCAAGCTTAGGGCAGAATGATCGTAAATGAACTCATGTGTGCACGGTTGTTCAAAGGGAGCTGAGTCCTGCATCTGGGTGTGGTTCTGACACCCAGAGTAGTCTTCATTCTTCTAGACTAGTTAAGCTTATTTATCTCCTCTATTTAATATTCTCAAAAAGAAATCTAAGTAAGAAAACATGACATTTCTGTAAACACAGTTATTCTAAAAATACTGGGTGGAAAAAAATGTTGTGGAGGCAACTGGTTTGTAAGTAATGGGAGTGACCAGATTATTAATCACAGTCAGTGCATCTGCTATGTTTAATTGGGTGAACCACCCAATGGCATAAACCTACAATGAGATCATCACATGACAATCTGTCAAGTGTTAATGTAATTCTGGCTTCACCACCACGTTTGTATAGAACTATCACTTCTACTGCAAGATACGTATCCCATATGAAGCTATCTAATGAGTTTCCTTGTGCAGGAAGAGGTGCTTCTTGAAACATACTTAGGCTGTCAATCACTATAATAGGCTGCCAACTTCTCCACCCATGGATTTACTGTGGACTGCTAGAGCCAAAGGGCCAGCTAGCATGCATGACTAATTAATTAGTAGTTCCCCTGATGAACCCCTGAGATGAAGATAAGAGGGCCCATCTTGCTGGCCCAGCAATGGTGATTAATGACCAGGACTTACTGGGCACCCATAGTGGACTTTGGCCGACTTTAGACTGATGATGGTATATAGGATCACACGACCATCATTGTGGGCGACGGCTGGCTTTAGACACATGACCAGGAAGTGTAGGGGACACCCGCAGCGCAGAATAGCACGCCGCGCGCCAATTCAAAATGGACAGAGAACCCCTTTTTTGGCATGCTGCAGCAGATTGTTTTTATTCTGCTTTTAACTTGTTGTCTTGTGGATGAGTCGCCGAGTTTGTGCCCAGCAAAGAAGGGGTATGTACTGAACGGGGCAATACTTCAGGTATACACACAGCAGGCAAGACAATATGCTAGCAATACCTGAGTTATGCTAAGTTGATCACATTGAAAGAGTGCACATGCATGGTTGGCAATGTAGTGTAGTACACTGTGCAGAGCAGAAAGATCAAATAACTTATATTAAGATAAGATTCATGACCAGTGATTATTCATTGGTTTAAACTTAAAGTTTGTAAACAACAACTGAATACCAACTGTGCCTGCTCCTTGTTTTTGTTCAGGTTTAGACAAAGTTCACCTGTGGCAGTCCTCTGCCAAAATTAGCAAGGAAGATGAAGCTGACAATCAGCATCTTCCTGTTTCTGGGACTACTGTGGGTAGTACATGCAGGTGAGAATTTGTGCATATGTTGAGTTTGGAATCACATCTCTGATTCCTATAACTTATATAAGTATTACAACATTTCAATTTCTACAAGTTGATGTTCCCAACCTGTCAGAGAATATATATAATTATATACATGTACTTCTTTTTATAATCAAGTATAATCTATCCTACAACATTCTAGATCTGTGGTGAATAGTTATAAGTCTGAACAAATAAAGTCAGTCACAGTACTGAATATACACTGGTCAGTATATAGAACTTCAGTGGCTGCAGCTGTCCATTGGATCTTTGAGCTCTTGTACCTAATATCAATAATACAATACTTGTACTCATTTAATAGTATTGTATATGACATTCTAAGGCAGCAGCGATGGACAATTGTCTTTTACAAAAAATAAATAAAGTGACCATGACATCATTGTATCTTTAAATAATATTACAAAACCCATCCCGCTGTTGCCCAGGTACTGTAACTGTTATTAAACATGCCTGGATTTCCTTTGTCACCCAGGCTATCCTCGGCTTCATTTCGCTGGGAACTTCCTTGCCGACACCCCAACTCTCAACAATGACCCTGTCAACTTCAACATCAACACCTTTAATGCAAGCCGGAATCCACCATGCTACATCAACTACACCGGGGATTGTGACTGGAACCCAAATGGCAGTGGTGACTTCCGGTTTGTCAACTGTTCTGTCACCAAAGTCTGCTACAAGGACGGGAAGTGCTCCCAAGGTGACCCTCTGGTCGGCAAACGAATCATCGGTGAGATGTTATTTGTCGGAAGTTGTCGGGAGAAACTTCACTGACAGTGGGACTACACTTAAGTCGAGTAGTACTGTCGGGAGTTCTCTTTACACGGCGTTCCTGCTGAGTCCCGAAAAGCTGTGTATAAAGTGGGTCTAAGCCACTGGACACATTTTACACCTGTGCAGAACTACTCATGTAGTCCAGTTGCCTTTGGGTCTTTGTATAACTGTATAAGGTGCGGGACTTAAGTCCTCTCATGATTAATCATCATTAATCATCCAGTAGGGCCGCCTTCCGGATCCCTCCCTGAATCAGATGTCAACTTCTTCCCCTCATGACTGGGTCAGCAGGGGTTGTCCTCTATAAGGCCCAATTTATACAGATTTTCAGCCAGACAGCCACTGTCGGGACGCCGTTGTCGGAAGGTCTTTAAACACATGGCCCAAAAGTCCCCAAGAAACATGATCCAACTCATCAAGTTCGTCAACCCCTGCCGCTACAGCTGTTGTTTTCCTGCACACTTTTGTATGCAAGGCATAGGTCGCAGACGGCAGACTTTCCTTCAATCTGATCTGATCAAGTTTGCGGATGTTACCCTAAAACTTTGTGGGAAATTTATAGGGCTTACAGTATATTAGACACATGAATAGCGAGACGCAACGTCTACAGTAGCTAGTATTCTACCCGTAGCTTGATTGTTTGCGGCCTGTACAATAGGCTATATGGACTGACGTAAACTCATCGTCACCAGCACACAATATTACCGTATCCCTAGGAGACAGAAAAAGCAGTATGTAGTTACATGAATAGCCCAAACTAATGTTCAAACAGAGTGCCAAACAATAAATATGGCGAAACTTCTTGGCGAAATACGGAAATTTGCATATAACCACTGACCTACATTTGTTCCCGCTGTTGGGAGCTCTTTATTATAAACACTTTTAAGTTGTCCGGGAGTCAACGTCCCACGCACTGAGCTGTCGTACGACTACTATGGAACTGTTGCGAGATTTTCTTCCACTGTCACTGAGTGTCAGGGAAAAGATCATAAAATTCCTCTCTACGCGGAAAAAAGCTAACCCCGCTGTCGGCAGTCCTGACATCTGCAGTTCCGCTGTCGCGAAAAACTGTGAATAAATTGGGCCTTAGACCTGGCTCTTCCTGCCCGTCTTAGCCACGATGTGCTATACTAATTATCTTAGTAATCAAGACAATCCATCTTAGCCTCTTGGATTTCTATACGTACTTGTATAAGACAAACACACGCGCACACACACACAGACACACACACACACACACATAAGAACGCCAAAGAAAACATAACCTTCCTGGCAAAGGTAATTATGGATAAAATGAATATACTGTATGATGTATGCAATCAAGTTCTCGCGTATATATGATTTCTTCTTGATTCATTCCTATAACTTTTCAAAGCAATTTTCTTTTAACAGGAAGTGACGACACTGTGGCAGGCAAGATAGTAGACCTGGACCCTTTCATCGAGTTAGTAACCACACAGCTGTGGGGCCTGGTTGTCGGGGTAGAGGATGCTTTTCAAGGCAAGTTCAAGACAAACACAGTAATGGACATATGGCAACGATGTAAGAAGCCTTGGTGTCCTGGGGACCCTAGGCCTGGAAGATCTGGTTACTGGAGCTCCATCCTAACAGATGTGACATGGATGGATGTGGATATAGGCTCCACATTTATCAACGAGCTTAGGTATAGTCAGCAAGGCAATGGCATCTTAAACATCAAGTTCACTGTAGATCTGATGCAGGAAGACTCTAGGAGGCCTAACTATACCCTTGGACGGGTTGTTGGAACCATTTCGGCTGTGGATGGCAGTCTGGATCCAGAGCAATATATACCTGAGTTCAACAGAATGATGTGGTGGCAGGGTCCTCAGTGGCTCTCACCAAACGTGCCGCGAGAATCACCAGAGAACAGTACCTACTGGAATGCACCGTTTTATGTGGACGATGTGAGCAAGAAAGTCGTTGTGGACCTCAGCAACAGTCTACCAACCAACCTGGAGGGCGACCTTCTTGACCAAGGCTCTCTCTTCCTTGTTGTTCTTCATCAGCAACCCTCGTCTTTAACAATCGTGGAAGGAAGGATCATGGACTGTAACACTCTCCTGGCACCATGTTGCACTAATTTGGGACGCATTCCATATACTAACCCAGGGTTTTTATTGAAGAACTCGGGTATAGCAACTTTTTGCTTGAGACCACTAGCGCAAAAGTATCCACTGATGATCGTGAGAGAGGAGAAAGTCTCCTGTCCGGATTCTGAGGATTGTCCAAAACAGTGCACACCCATCCTTGTTGAGCGCCAAGATGGACTGTACATTGGTCCAGCAGGAGATCGTGTTTTCCGAATTCCACAGCCTAAAACTGAAAATCCTCCCTCAAAACCTCACGGTGCAGGTGGTATTTCGTGTTGGTCGTCAAAAGTATTTGCTACACAATTCGGGAAACCAAAAGCAGGTGTTGGGCTGAGTATACAACCATATGATAGACAGAACACAGGGGAGCCTGCAGATGTAATAGATATCATTCGTGTTGACTGCAGTGGATATGCCAAGCCTAATAAAACAAACGCGTACGGCATAGCAGCTTTTACTTTCGTGAATTACGAAGGAGGTCTTGACTGTAGCCGCCGACCACCTAATAGACCTGCATACTTGCTTGGCCAGTTGTACATCTACAAAATGACCTTGTCTGGTGACAATTCTTTCCCTCCCAACCTCCTGACATCAACACATCTATACTGTAAGATCAACAAGAAAGAAAACTACACTTGGGACGAAGATATCTACCCGATTCTCAAACTGTATGAGAACCTTTACCCTGTTATGAAACCACTTTTCAATTTGGCCTCCAAAGATGAAGTACAAGCCAATTCCGATCACTTGCATTACGCTATGAGTCTACCCATAGAGAGTCCAAACCACATGCCTGTCACCCGTGATCTCTCCCCAGCAAAGAGAGACATGATCCTGGAGTGGCTAAAACCAAGTGAAGAAACCCCAGACACTGCTCAAGATCTAGAGATCAATAACCAACTGGAAGTCATATTACCGTTTCTCCGTACAGCTCTTACGCTTGAATGGGCGACAATCCCTCCTTACCTGAGCGCCTACTACAGCATCAAGGACGGCTACAACAAGGAAATTGCAATGCTTCTGAAGAGTATTGTTATAGAGGAGATGACACACTTGTCGATGGTGGCAAATATCCTTAATTTTCTTGGAGAAGCCCCAAACTTTACAAACCAAACACTGTGGCCCAAGTATCCAGGTAAGCTTCCCGGAGGGGTCATGCCGAATCTAACTGTGGGATTGGCGAGGTTCTCTAAACAAGTCACCCATGATGTCTTCATGGGTATAGAGACGCCAGAATGTGACCCTGATCTTCTGGAAGTGCACAGGTTACTCTGGCAAATTCCTCCTCGAGTACGCCCTGCTGAGATTCCACAACAATGCCAAAACATTGATAACAATGCCAATTGTGACCCATTATCGGTAAACATATTGCAAAAGTGCACTGAGTCAAACTACAATATGAGTACAATCGGTGCTCTCTATATCCACAGAATCTTATGCCCCATGATCTACCTATACATGTCACATCCAGGAGTCTTTGCCCCAAAAAAGGAAAACCTGGATAAACAGGTGCCCATACCATTTTGCGTTCTTGACATCTGCTCAGCAATAGAGGGGATCAAGTACATCATCGGGGAGGGCGAGGGTGGAGACCCATGCAATCCCTTCTTCGAAGAAGAGCTCAGCCACTACTACAAGTTTAAGGAGATCTGGAAGGGGAAACAACTAGTTGCTGCCGTTGGAAATTCCTCCCAATCCTGCACTTCAGGAAGCTGTGACAACAACCCAGACGACCAGTCCCCTGATACAGACCCTTTCACCCCATGTAACGATGTACATTGTTCAAAGAATTACACTTTCACTGGTCCAATCATACCGTTTAACGAAGAAGGAGTGTGGCCGACCCTTCCGAACCCCAGCACCTCGCACTACCCACCGGGATCGAGGGCTCGCATTCTGTCTGACAGCTTTAACCTGAAGTACACCAACCTGATGACCTGTCTGCACGAGACTTTCAACGGCAATCCTGGTCAGTTCAGCCAGTGTTACGCACTCATGACATCACTGACTGTAGACGCCAAGAGACTCGTTCAGACGAATCTGACCGCCACAGACGATGTATATGGTGCCCCGACTTTCGAGTGGTACTCTCGAGATGGAAACAATTAAGTCTTTAAAAAAAACACCACCAAAATGGAGTTGGTAATTCCAAGACCAACAGCATCCTGCATTGTTTTGTACTGTATATCATACCTAAAAGTTCTGTCTACATGTATATCTATCAAACAAATTATCCAAATACTAGAACCATTTTTTCAGACAATCCTTTAAAAAGCTAGTTGGTAGAATGCTTTTGCCAAACATGAAAAATTTCATGTCTGAAATTAGCATAAAATTTACAATATGCTGCTGCATTATAAAAAGGGCAATTTTTTTAGTACTCTGTAATGAAATCGAGAATTTAGTCATATGTTTAACATGCTCAACTTTATTTAATACATTTTGCTGTAAACAAGACGATTTAGATTAGTTATTGTATCAGTTAATGTCTTTCCTAGTGTGCAGGTAAACTTAAATCCATATATATACAATCATGTATTATGTAAAAAAAGTTTTAGAAGAACACATGGCTATTGACACACCGGGTGTGGATATAAAAAATTTTTGTCTTTTATATCCACACCCGGTGTGTCAATTTAGCCAGGGTGGTTTTAGAAATTATATACATTATCCAAGTTTCCAACACATTGAGATATCTCCAAAAAAGGCCATTTGCGTTTTATACATGGTCAATATATCAATATGCAACACGCTAAAAAGTTTATACTCTAGAGCAATTACGCTTGTACTTAGTATAAATTTGGGTTAATTAATTAATACAAATGTACTTAGTAATATGGGTATGTTCTGAAGCATCGATCAAGATGGTGGCCTTATGGCAGTAGCTACATTGGACTATGATTGTAATTGTAGCTGTCTGACCCTCAGCAGGACGTATACCTTCTTCAACAGGCTGTTCTATCCATTCTGTGAATAAATAACATCATCGCTCTCAGAAAGGTCTGTCTTCAACCAGTGTCCCCTGTCAGGTGTAAATGATAAACGGGTAGAGGTACATTGTAGATAACTGCAGGGCTCGAAATCCCTTTTTTTAGGTACATGCAAATATAATTGCACATTGGCAAAAATTTTAGGTGCAATTTGAAAACTTTATGTGCAAAATTATAAGACTGTCTTTTGGTAGAGATACTAGAGAATATGATCAACTCATAATAATTCATGGGAATGAGGATCCTATTTACATGATCAGGGGAATAATGTATTATTTGTCAGTCATAAGGATTAACATCATTTTGCGAAGGTATGAGATTGTGGAACTCTAGTCTATTTACCTTCGCCAAGAAGGTTATGTTTTTAGAGGCGTTCGTGTACATGTATGTGTGTGTGTGTGTGTGTGTGTGTGTGTGTCTGTAAACACAATAACTTGAGAAGGCTTACATGTATATGGATTGTCATGATATTTGGTATGTGGGTAGGTCTTGATGAGACCTCAAAATGATTAGATTTTGGGCCCTCTGGCAGCTTGTTACGGTACTGCAGCTGAACGTCCGGTTTTGACATCTCATTACCTAGACATGCTAGGGTCATGAAACTTGGATGGTAGATAGCTCTTGTGCTGGGGAAGAAATGACGTGAGTTTGGGCCCTCTAGCTATAGTGGCTTAAATTGTAACTGCCTGGGGCTTTTTTTTTTCAAAATATTCAAAAGAGGACAAGAACCAGTTGACCGATCGTCATGATTTTTGGTAAGGCCTAACAAAATAAATGTTGTGTTTCCTATTACAGTCCAGAAAAAATTAGGGTCGGTAGGTAGGGATTCACTTTTTTT